ACTTTTCTTGAAATTCTTGAGTAAATCTTTCATTTCTTGAATGGCATTTCTCAGCTCTGTATTCACTTTTTCCTGTTCACTGGTCCATCGTTCAGCCCACCTTTCCAGCACTCCTACTCTTCCCTCCATGGCTCCTTGATTTTGGATCTGGCAGGTCGGACCAATTGTTAGGAACCAAGAATTAAACCGAAAAAGAAAATAAAGTTTCTTTATTGAATAGATTGAAAAGAACAAGAAATAGGAGAAGACTCTCCTCCAAGGGTTTCCCCTTCACAAAGGATTTCTCCTTTTACAAAGAGCTAATGCTCAATTTACAAAGAATATCTCCCCCCTTCTCCTATCCTTCACACCCTATTTATATTTAAACAACACCTTATGCAATTAACTAACTTATTAATATGCTAACTATCTTCTTAACTTCTCTTTCCCCTTATACCCTAACAATGTCATGGTTAATTCATTCGGTTGATGCAGAAATCGCTGAAAGCATTTTATGGTGTGATAGTGCTGCAGATATTTAGAAGGATCTCAAGCATCAATATTATCAAGGAGATGTGTTCAGAATCAGTGATTTACAAGAGTAAATCTACATGTTGAAACAAGGAGATTCAACAATAACAGGTTACTTTACTCAACTCAAGATTATGTGGCAAGAACTTGGAAAATTTTCGTCTTATACCTACATGTAACTGTAATACAAATTGTACATGTAGTTCAAAAATTATCACTCATTTTAAATCATATCAAGAAAATGATATGTTATAAGATTCTTGAAGGGATTAAATGAGCAATACTCGGCTCTTAGATCACAAATTATGTTAATGGAACCTTTGCCTAACATTGAAAAAGCATTATCCCTGTTAATTCAACAGGAAAGACAATTTAATTCGGTAAGTAATGATCTAAAGGTGTTAGCTGTTACAAATAACACAAACAAATTCTCTAGAAGCTCTGGAAGAGGTAGAGGAGGAAAATTTGGTACTAGTTTGCTCATATTGTAACAAGACAGGTCACACAGTGGATAATTGCTATAAAAAACATGTATTTCCACCTTATTATAAGAAGTTAGGAGCAAGAAATTCAGCCAACAATTGTTTTAATGATAAAGAGGCACTAAGCTTTGAAAACAACATGAGTATTGGCACTAAAGACAAGGATGATGACAAACTAATCAAGCTCACACCAGAACAACAAATAGCCATTATGGATATTATAAATCAATCTGACAATCAACATGTTACTCACTCAGCCAATAACATTACCTCCAATGATCAGAATCTTTCTCAAGCACAAATAGGTACAATCTGCACTTTGTCTAATGATGTGAAATCCAATATTTGGATCTTGGACACAGGAGCAACAAATCATGTTTGTTATACTTTTAAGTCTTTTCAGTGCATTAGAAAAATCAAGCCTATGAAAATTCATCTACCAAATGGGAACTTAGTTATCACAGATTTGGCAGGATTTGTTTTCTTTTCAGAAGATTTTTATATCACATATGTGCTTTATATTCCCAGTTTCAGCTTCAATCTTATTTCTATTTCAAAGCTTATTATTCAACTTGGCTGTCAATTGACTTTTTCTCCTACATCTTGTGAAATCCAGGATCTCCAATCTATGAAGATGATTGGTGCAGCTAAAATGAAGAAAATACTTTATGTTCTTGGTTTCAATCCTAAAGTCAATTCTTTTGTTCATTCTGTTAACAATTTTCATTCATATGCTTGTGATATGTGGCATAGATTTGGCCATTTGGCTCATGACAAACTTGTTGTGTTGAGAAATAAGTTTTCCTTTATTGACTGTATTCAGAATAAAGATCCATGTAATGTTTGCTACTTAGTTAAGCAAAAACATTTACCTTTTCCTTCAAGTGTGAGTAAATCCGAAGTTGTTTTTGATATGATACATGTTGACATATGGGGACCTACTTCCCCTTCTTCTATTTTTGGGCATAGATACTTTCTCACTGTAGTAGATGATAAATCAAGGTATACCTGGATTTTCTTTATGAAGCAAAAGTCAGAAGTCGCAACACATTTGAAAGGCTTTATAGCCATGGTTGAAAACCAATTTACTAAGAGGGTGAAAAGTATAAGGTCAGACAATGGGGCAGAGTTTAATCTGACATCATTGTTCAATGAAAAAGGAATCCTTCATCAAAGGTCTTGTGTAGAAATTCCATAGCAGAATGGGATAGTGGCGAGAAAACACCAACACATTTTAACAGTGGCTAGAGCTCTTGTTTTTCAATCTCATATTCCCAAGTGTTTCTGGATTTATGCTGTTTCACATGCTATTTTTCTTATTAACAGACAACCAAGCAGTTTTTTGAAAAATTTAACTCCCTATGAGATTCTTTATCAGCAGCTTCTTGACATTAACAACTTAAAGAGTTTTGGTTGTTTAGCCTATGCCAGCACTTTACAAGTTAACAGAATGAAATTTGATCCTAGAGGAAGAAAATGTGTTTTTCTGGGCTTCAGACACAATGTGAATGGTTATATCTTATATGACTTATTATCTAGAGAGACTTTTCTCAGTAGACATGTGGAATTTTTTGAGCACATATACCCTTTCCTGAGCAAAGAGACGATTAATGTTGATTATCTCTGTCCTAATAATTACTCCTACACCATTCCTTTACCTATTCTAAATTCTGAAACACCTATTGAACCATCATCCACTCACATTGATGTTACCCCTGAACTTGACATTCCAAGTCCAGAAACCACTGTATCAGGTGTAACATCCCTCAGAAAATCTACCAGAATAAAAAGACTTCCATCTTACCTCACAGATTACCATCACACATTAGCCATCAATCACCCTAAAACTAATTACCCAATTTCAGATTATGTTTCATATATCAACCTTTCTTCTTCTAATAAGAACTATGTTCTCAATATTTCCACAGCCATTGAACCTACTACTTATATTGAGGCCATTCAACATGATTGCTGGAGAAATGCTATTCAAACTAAACTTGCAGCTTTGGAGAAAAATAATACCTGGACTCTCACATATTTGCCTCATGATAAAAGGGCAATAGGATGCAAATAGGTTTTTAAGATCAAGTACCATTCTGATGGTAGCATTGAGAGATACAAGGCTAGATTAGTAGCCAAAGGATATACCCAAACATAGGGATTGAATTATCTAGACACTTTCAGTCCTATTGTCAAGATAACTACTGTAAGGACTTTACTTGCTGTTGCTTCTACCAAGAATTGGTATCTTCATCAGTTAGATGTTAATACTGCCTTTCTTCATGGTGATCTCCACGAGGAGGTCTATATGCATTTGCCCCCAGGTCTGTTTTCTTCTACCTCTTCTCCTCAAGTTTGCAAATTGCAAAAATCCCTCTATGGTTTAAAACAAGCAAGTAGACATTGGAATGCTAAACTCACTGCTATTTTAATTCAATCTGGTTATACTCAGTCTAAAGCTGATTATTCTTTATTTGTTAAAAGCAATTTTGTCTCGTACACAACTATTCTTGTCTATGTTGATGATTTGATATTAGTTGGAAATGACTTAGATGAAATTATTAAAGTGAAGCAATTACTTGATGCTGCCTTCACTATCAAAGATCTTGGTAACTTGAAGTATTTTCTGGGTTTTGAGGTTGCTAGATCTCACACAGGGATCTCTATTTGTCAGAGAAAATATGCAATGGATCTTCTTGAAAGTGCAGGGTTACTTGTTGGAAAACCTTGTAAAACACCCATGGATTACACTCTTAAACTTCCTAAAAGTTAAGGGACTCTATTGAATGATCATGAAGTTTACAGAAGATTATTGGGGAGATTAGTTTACTTAACTAATACTAGACCAGATATTAGCTTTTCCGTCACCCATCTAAGTCAATTTATGGCACAACCAACAGATGTTCACTATCAGGCCGCCTTGAGAATTCTTAGATTCATCAAGAATGCACCTGGCAGAGGTATATTTTTCCCTTCAAACTCTGATCTTAAATTGAAAGGTTTCACAGATTTTGATTGGGGTTCCTACCTTGATACTTGAAGATATGTTACCGGATTTTGTTTCTTCCTTGGTAATGGTCTTATCACTTGGAAGAGCAAGAAACAACCCACTGTTTCAAAATCTTCACTGAGTATAGAGCTTTGTCACAAGCCACATGTGAAACTCAATGGTTATCTTATCTCCTTCAAGATTTTCAACTAACGGATATAGCTCCAATTGCTCTATATTGTGACAACCAATCTACCTTACATATAGCATCCAATCCTGTGTTTCATGAACAAACTAAACACAGAATTGGATTGTCACTTTGTCCAAGAAAAGCTGCAACTTGACTTAATTCATTTGCTTTCCATTTCTAGCTCTTCTCATATCAGTGACATCCTGACCTAACCACTTAGCCCAATGCCTTTTGATCATTTTCAATCCAAGCTTGGAATGATTGATATCCATTCCAGCTTGTGGGATGATGTTACACAATAATAATTCAACTATAGAAATAATTAGTTTTATTCGAATACATGATTTTTTGGACACAGCTATTTATTACAAAAGTCCATTAACGAAAGGCGTAAGAAGTACAGGTGGCACTGTAAAACAATATAATAGCAGAAATGACAGTAGAAGGTAATGTGAAAGTAAGCATATTTTAAAAGGAAACCGTTATATAAATAACGGTTTGGTGGTTTTTCTGTTCAATGAAAACGAATATTTCTCCTACCGGTTGGAGTGAACTAAAACCTTTTACCCCATAAAAGGTAATTTCAAGTCCTAGTACACACTCTGGGAGGAAAAGAACATAAAACTTATTAGCATGGAGGAAATGGAACACGGATATACAAGCAGCCATGAATTTTATCTCTAGTAATTGCATCCACATTGTTACATTGTAGATTCCCATCATTAAAAAGTGATAGGAAAAGTGAGAAATTCCCATTGCTAAAAATATCAAATAAGAGATATTAAACAAAAATAAGGAGAAAGGAAAATAATGATGAAAAATGAAATAATCAGTCATTCCTTCTAGTCGGTTTAAGCAATTTTATAACATTTTCATAAACAATAAATGTTATTGAAGAAGCAGGAGCATTCTTCAAGAGGTTTGCAGTAATTCCTTTGTAAAAACCTCGGACGCCTTCAAAACTGCAAGAACAGAACAAAATCTATAAAAGAAAAAAAATAACTAAATTTAAAATTATCAAAGAGCATATAATTTGGATATACACACCAGTCAACCTATTGTGTTTGCCATTTGCGAAGGTATAAGAAATGTGATAATCTTAATCACCAATAATACTTATGATACCTATCTAGTTTCACCTTTGCATACTTGACAATATAAAGATATAAACTAAATCCGTATGAGTTTTAATACGTAGTTATTTACCGTGCAGTTTCTTTCACAACATGCCAAGTGTCCATATATCTTGGAACGCCATCACCACCAGGTCGTTGCTGCAGAGACAGAAATTTCAGTCTAGATCAGATAAAGATGTAGTGATGCACAGTTCAAAGAAAATCAGTATGTAATATTTATATCTTTGTATTGACATTCTTGTACCTGCAAGCGAGACCGCATAACCTGAAATAAGGGGGGAGGGTGGGAAAGCATGCCTCAGAAGAAAGAAAATTCTCCAATTACTGATGTATCATATTAAGGAATGAAGAAGCTATAATCTTCCTTCAAAAGAGGGGGCAGACAGCTGTACCTGAAATGGATAAGTTAGCAGTATGGCAGCTAGTTTTGATGTTGCTCCAAGAACCGCATAATCAACAGAATTCTGGGAAAAAGAATACAAAATGAAAACATTAGAACTCTTAAGTTCTAGATAAATTATTGATTAGTTGCTTATAACACAAATTCTATTGAAATAATTTGCAAAGATCAGATAGCATGAAGCTAGATGTACCAGACCCAAACGTGTCTCATAAAGCTATAACTCCTAACAAATAAAATGTAGGATATGCATAAAGCTACATTTCTCTCATAAACATGTCCCTGGATTCTACATAACCAATAAAAGATAACTGAGGCATCCATTATTCACATGCAGCTGCAGCCTACAATCAGAGAAGTGATTCTTGAGATTCATCAATATTTTGCGCAACCAAACTAGAGCAATGATTATAGAAGCATGACTTAGAGAGCAATACAAGGGACCAAAAGGTCAAACATAAAAAAATCATTTGAGAAATATAAATTGTCCAATACATGTGAATTCAAGAGTTAAACCGACCCAAGGATCTCCAACTTACCAACAATGTATCAGGACTTTGATTGTGTTCTGTACTTCTCTTACTTTTAAAATCAACAATAACTTTACGTAGCTCCTCATATGCTGTGAACTGAATAGCACCATGAGAGACCTGCTGAAACATAAATTAAAGTAAGCTCATTATAAAACACAGAAACACATTATTAAGTTTTTTATTTTTGAGACCTTTCTTAATACTTGGTAACTGATATAGCTTTTGGAATATTCATATCCCTTCCACACCCTAGAGAAAAGTAGCAACCTAATAACGGTTTTAGTAAATTTAGACTATAGCATCATAAATAACTTAAAAGCTTCAGCAAAAAGTTATCATAAGCTAAAGGTTTAATATAACTAACTTTCAGATACAAATGCGGGGAACCTAATTATTATTAATATCCTGGCAGGGAAAGAGTTAACAAATTTAAATAAATATGTATCCACCCAATGACTTTGATATAATTACAATCATATTCGTCCTTTACTTCTAAGTTTGACACTATTCCAGCCAAATTTTCTGCGAAGTACTTTCTACTACTATGAACTCATTCTCTGAAAGAACACCACAGTTTAGGAATTTAAGAGAAATTTTCCAACTATAAAAATAATTTATGGAAATAGTTAATTAACATATGGTTAACACATGATGTTGGAAGTTTCACATCGACTAGAGATATGACCAAATTATAGTATATAAGAGTGTAAACCTCATCTTACAAGTTGTGTTTTTAAGGTTAAGTTAGAACTAACTACTTTAAAAGATGATGTCAAAATCTATCATAGTAAGGATGGTATCCTACAAATATCGAGTCCCACGCTTGAGATGTCCAATCCTTGGCATGTAGATATGAGCAAATTGTAGTGTAATATATATATATATATATATATATATATATATATATATATATATATATATATATATATATATATATATATATATATATATAGACAGATGCAAATTTTATCTTATAAACCGATTTTGAAGAATTGAATTGGACCTAAACCATTTTGTATGGCAAAAATATCCCTTTGAACACTCAAGATTTTCCAAAAATGTCATTCGCTCAAAAAATGATTGATAAAATTTGGGGTAATTGAAACTACACACGTTAAACTTTGAAATCATCACAAACATCACAGCAAATCCCTTGGTCCTACTTCCACTAACTCACTAAGTAAAAAGGAATATGTTTTCCATGTCATAATCATATATCGTGACCACTATAAACACATTGGCACAAGCACATATTCCATGTCACTGGGGGGAAAATCAGGAAGTGAGCTTAATACCCTTTTATATTCTTGTACTTTTGGTCCCATTTTGAATGTTGCTTGTCAAACCCTCACCCAGTAATCGCTTGATAGGTTCAAAGTTCAACAACCTTTAGAAAAATAGCACCCACTCTCAAGAATACCACATATCATTCCACATCGTCATTTTTTGACTTTTTGCTAGGGAGAAAAAGGGGGAGAGGGAGGGGGGGATGCAAATGCTGGAGATGACATGAACGAATCATTTGCTGACATGAGTTTCTGATCATGTAACATTCACACAATAAACACGTTCCTTAATAACTTAACAATTGAACGGAAGGATCAAGGATCTGTTGTGATGTTTTTAGTATTGTATAATATCAATAGGCAGATTCAAGAGTTCATAGTGGCTAGTTGCAATGGGTGTGATGTCCATTATACATTGCAAAAGCACAATATCACATTATATTTAATCTAAAATTAAAAGTCCCAGTGCCATTGACAAACAAAATAACAAGAGTCAGCAACATACCAGAAATAGACCAGGAACAATCCCTCTGTAAAGCGCCCTAAATCCTTCTTCCCTCAAAATGGTCCTAAATGCATCTGATATTTAATATTAACAGAATTAAATTCTATGACTAGTTAGCGAATCATATATTGATGAATAGAACTACAATAAAGAAAATATTAAACAAAATATGCTAGTACGTAGTGATCGTGTGACAATCACATTGCAAACACATTCTTTTAGTAACCTGTAGATATTAAACGGAATGATTAATAATTGAGATGTTTCTAGTATTCTTTGGGTTTAATTGACAGAAAAAAGAGTTCATAGTGGTTAGTAGCAAAATGCATAATGTTCATTATAGATAGGAACCTAGAATCGGTTTGGGCAAATACGACCTTTTATCCTTATGAAGCTTAATTATTTACCAATACCATTGTACTCAATTTGATTAAAATTTTAAGTGCAAAGATTAATAGGTAAAATAACAAGAACCGGCAACATACAGAGATTGACCTGGAACAATGTCTCTGTAAAGTGCACTAAATCCTTCCTCCCTCGATATGGTGTTCTAAATGCATTTGATAATTAATTTTCACAGATAAAACATTTTCATGACTAACTAGCAATTCATATGATGAAGAACATTACCACAATAAACAAAATATACAGTCATTATCATGTTTTAGGTAGTTGAGTTAAGAGGAGTGCTTGCAAAACTCTAACATACTCTCTACTATTGGTTCCATTGGGAACTACAAAATCATTAGCGAGACTCATTACAACAGTAGAACTCACAAAATTGTGATTCCCAATAAATTTCAGCCAATAGAAAGGGTGTGTTCAAAAGTGTTTGTTGAAAAATGTATATTATGCCTTTCTCATTGAGTGAAACATAACCACCCTGGTCCCCAAATAAAAAAAAAAACAAAAGAAGGTCAACTTATACACCTAACTCTTACATCTTGATTTTTCCTTTCTCAAAACAACTGAAATAATCTATAAATAAAAGGTAAAACTAGTTTTTTAACCAGTCTTAAAATCAACATCATTCAAGACTATGCAATGGAATGGAACAGATAGGATTAATCACCTGCAATGCACAGTTAAATACTATGACTCAATGAACCATTTGGTTAAAATGACCTAACTTTCAACTTTTGGATACTGATTTCAAATTCAATTTACGGTGAGGTGGCTAAGAATAAGAAGCATCTTATTGTAAAAGATCACAATTAAGCTATGTAATTATAGCTAGCTTAACATCTAGAGCCAAAGATAAAATATGGATGCTATAAAAAGTAAACAGTTCAAAATAAAGTTAATTCAATTGGACAGCATACCATAAAGCCCAGAGTATGGTCGTGTCTGATGAAGCGAAGTTTGAAGCTGCAATCTTGTCTTTACTAGCCAAACAGGATTTGTGCATAAGCAAACCTACGAAACATAAGGGAAACCAAAATAACCGAAGGTCAGTTTTGACCCTATACATGTATGTGCCACAATATGTTTGGCAAGCTTTAGAATTATTAAGTATCTAATTATCAAAGCTAAGAAGGATCACAAAGACATGCACATAGATAAGGAAATAGTAAACATAAGTGTATTAGCTCCATTCTCACAAACAGTTTAAATCAAACAATAATTGTCATTGCCAAACTCATCAATCCAGCTCACCAAAAGTAATTCATTGTGGATTTGATTCGTCTAAAGTGAAGCTAAACTAAGGGATTCACTTTACAGAGAAAAGTAGGGTGTTATAGCCATCAATACGAAATGAAATCAAGGGAATAGATTTAAATTATTTCATATTTAATTGCACAGTTACATGTACTTTGTCAAAATATCAATTGCTGATTTTCAAATATCCTTTTGCCAATTACAGTTAAACTCTCGCTTTGGATGACTCAAAATTGTATCACCTTTCATCTCTCTTACATTCCAATAAAGACAAAATTAAAAAAGCAAAAAAAAAAGACCTTGGGTGGCAACAAAATGCCAGCACGGTTGTACAACATAATCACTTAAGAATTATATATTTGGATTTAATATAGCAATTTTTCTCACTTACCAAACCTCCTGCTTCAGCAGCTGAGGCAAGATGAAGACCTGGGCTCAACTTCCCCTCCCTGTTCCTTGCATATCTTTGTTTGGCTTTATCATAGCTGCAATTTAAGGAAAGGTTTGATACAATGATTTTGGTCTTCTAGGAAAGCATGTAGATGGACCATAAGTTTTGGTATTATGTTAATGATATTTGTAATAAGTTTCCTCATATGATACATATATTCCAATTTGAGGGGAAATGTCAGAAATATGACTCGATTATGTCAAAGATATGATTTGATTATGTTAAAGAGGGAGATATGATATGACTTGATAAGAAAATATCTCATCAAATATTTTCTACTTTTAGATATTGATTTTGTTACTTATTAATGTATCTTTTCTTTGTTATAAAAGAAAAACTCATGAAATTCATCATACTCCTTGGTTTCTTTCTTCTTTAACATGGTAATAGAGTGGTACCATCTTCCATGACTTGTTTCGTTACAATCTTCTTAACATGGTATCAAAACCTATCTTAACAAGATTTATTGGGCTATTGTGTCACTTGCTATCAAAACCCTAAACCCTAAACCATCCACATTAAGCTACATGCTTTCCAAATGTCCAATCCTCAATATAAGGAGATATGTCGGACACCACCCACAAATATTAAATCCTACGACCAAAGATATGACCAAATTAAAATATATAAATGAATACAAACCTCACTTTTAAAGTTGGTTTTGTAATATTAAATTATCTCCAAATCCAAAATTTTCTGATATGTATTGTTTGTCATCGACGTGTTTTCAACAAAATTTGTTTCTTGATGATGTTTTCTTAGTGGGTTTGTTCACCATTTTTCTCACAAGTATTATTTGCCACCGACATTTTCCAATGGGTATTGTTAACCGCCAACGCTTTCAAACAGATATAATCCATCATTGACATTTTTTCAATGGTGTTGCTCACCATTGATGTTTTCCCATTAATATTATTCATCACTTACGTTTTTAAAGGGAATATTGTTCTTAGTCAACATTTTTAGGTGTGTACTGTTTCCATCGTCAACATTTTTTGGCTTGCCCTCCTACATTTGTAACAATCATATGATACAAGCTTGAGGAAGAGGGTTAAAGTTATCATTTGTCATTATTTACTTTATGTACATCAGCAACCAACATGCTGACACGATTCTCTCAAGGGGTTTAGGGAGAGTGTTAGAGATATAATTTAACTAGATTAAATTGGTAGATATTATACGACTTGATAGGAATATATTGCACCAAATATTTTTCCATTATTAGATGTTAAGTTTGTTCTTTATTGTTGTATCTATTTTTCATTATAAATAAGAATGCTTACGGAATTCATTATATTCCATCTTGGTTTCTTTCTACTCAACGTGATACTAGACTGATATCATTCCTCATGACATGTTTTGTTATTAATCCTTTGAACAATAATAATTAATCACTAAAGTCTTGAAGGTAATAAACAAAGAGGGGAAAGATAATGTTTTTTTGCAGGATAAAGAACAGTGAATTTGTAGAAGTTGTTTGATGTTAAATGAAACTACTACAGACTGTGAGTAGCAGACATTGACATACTGATTTGTTGTCTACTAAGAAAACTAATTTACATTTTTTTTATTTCCTGTGTCGTGTGTGAGCACGTAGGACATAGTAGAGAGGATTTTCAAACACATTTAAACAAGTTCAAATTTAACTAGAGAGGGTGCATATATGCAGTCAGCCGTCTGTATAATATCATAGTGATTGGTTTAACAGTTGACTTCAATACTAATTGTTGGAATTTAGTACTTACAAAAAGAAATATAAACCCCATGAAATAGTGGACCCGAGAGCCCCAGGAAGAAAGCCTGCATATAACCCTCTTAATCCCTGCAAGATAAAGCATGCATAAAGTACATTCATATCATGACATACACAGTACCAAAAGCAAAAGCTTCACTCCTATTAAACTTGGCAACAGGTGTTAATTTTCCAACACCAAACCCATCAATAATAAGTGGAAGGAACGAACATTGAACCTTACATCAATAATCCCAGCAGCAACCATGATAATATTCGCGAAAGTAAGACAGTAGACAATGTGGAAAATGAAGTCTAATGACAAAAGGCAACCAGTCATTAACAAACAAAATAGACACATGAGAACCCGCACGTTGTATCTCTTCATTGTCATTTTAGCATTACACGTTTGAATCTCACTATGCACGACATAAAATAAGATCTCAAGTCGTGGCAATAATCTTAGTAAGGTTCTCTTCACTTTCATGAATACCAGAAACCGTAGCACTGATTTTATCACATGTCTTAGATTTATCTGTGCAGCTGAAAATAACTACACTATTTAGAAAGTAAAAGGTGTCATGTAATAATTCTATATATATTCATAGCCCTATGTCTAGAAAGTCAAGCAATCAACACCATTTAAATGCATGATTGTCAAAATGTGTTATTTATCACAAATCTGTACTCTTACATTACCACGTAGATTTTAAAAAACTTTACTAAAAAAATCACTCCAATATTGAAATTTCTAAAGTGATTGTTTAACCAATTAAATTTTGTGAGTGAAAAATAGTTTTTTCTATTGATACAAACGGTTACGCAAATTACTTGTTTGAGCAATTCACTCAAGTAATGCACGGAATGTCATGTAATATGCTCGAATGAAATTCTTTTCAGCATCCTTCCTTAACTATAGATAACTCTCCTAAGCACCCGCGTTTTAGATACTTAATTCCCTTTCTTGAGGACACAGGAAAAGCTTGCGGAATTTCATTGATTAAAGAAGAAAGTTGACAATTGAATCGTTCATTGAGAAAAAGCATTGTCGATGGTCGATTAAGAAATAACAAACCTCGGAGCGAGCAATAGTGAAAACGGCGTGAGTGGTATTCTTGTAACGGGGAAGATGAGAGACTCGACCATCGTTAACTGCAGAGTGAAACAATACTTATAAGAATTGAAGGCACGAAAGTGTCATAATCGTGGTTTATATGAGAAGAGAGAGAACCTTGAAACCTAGTGCGGACAACATCGAGGGGATACATGACGGTGACTGTGGCGATTCCGGCGGCGGCGCCAGCGGTGGCATTCTCCCACTGCCATTGATCGTGTTTGGGCGCTCCGGCTGACATTTATTTATAGAATATGGGTAGCTTTAGATTCAGAGTTGAATTGATTGTGACTGCGACATTCAATGTCTCTTCGTTTTGTCTGTTTGGAACTTCTCTCTTTCAAGTTTCAACCAAGTTCGTGTTATTATCACGTGCAAAAAACAGAACTTTTTTTGTAGTTTTTTATTCGAGTTAGGCTTTTCCAAGTTACTCCAATTAAAGTATTTTAGATTGATAGAAAAAAAAAAGAGTAGTATGTGATCTGTGTTATTTATTAACAAAAGATTGATTTTAATTTATTGAATGACAATTTGTTAGAGATAATTATTTTAGCTTTTTACCTTTTGGTTACATTTTATGTTTTTAAAGTAAATTATTATTTAAGTTTAGCATTCCAGAAGTTGAGATGATGTTTTTTTATCATTGATAATTATATGAAATTGGTAAGCCTTCATTTTAGATAGATTATATGATCTTTAAGGTAAGTTTGTTTATTGTGAAACCGATTATCAATTTTAGTCTGTTTTAAAAAAAATCTAAATAAAAAAATTTTAAAATTTAAATTATATTAATGAAATTAAATTTTAAATATAATTTTTATATATTTTAAAAAAATAACATTATTTTTAATATTTTTATAAAATATAATTTTTTTTTATTAAAGATAAGGTTATAAATCAAGCGGATGGGGGTAAAGATATATTACGCTGCAATCTAAAGCAAATCAATAAGAATTGACAAGTTTCTAATGGATTCTCAAAATCAAAACTAGTAATCGAGTGCAAACACAATTTGCCCTTTTTATTTGGTTCCACATACATTTACGGCCTATTTTTGTTGAGAAATTTTGAAGAAAAGGATACAAGTGATAAAGAATGATGAAAGATAATGAATTTTTTATTGTTTGGGAAAAGATAGAAGAGAGAAACAGCCACCTGCAGGACACACTATGAAACTCAGTATTTCTTCTTGCTTTCCTACTTGCAACAAATTTGTTTACAGAAACTGGTCTACCTATGCAGTATCAGGGAAATTTTCAAAGTGCAGTATGCAGATAGAAAAGTTCTCGTTATATAAGAGAAAGTTTCCTCTAATAATCATAATCCACAGCATGTGCCAATTTGCTCAGCACACCAAGGCATTGTTGGTTGGGAGGGATGCATCAAAACCCCCATAAAAGGAGATAAACAACAGCCAAGAGAAGCTAAAATCAGGAGACAGCATTGGGGAGTAAGTGTTAACTTCAATTCTAGTTGTGCATTACAAATGATTGCGTTGCGTGGCCATGGTAGTTCAGTGGCCAACCAATTGGATCTAGAGCTTTACCAGCAAGTAACATGTATATATTTCAAAATTGATTCCACTGTCATAAACCAATGCTACAACACTGGTTAAGATACTATCAAAATGGCAGTGAGGTTTGCTCAACAAACTCTTCAAATACACTTGATCAAAGCAGAAAAACTACTACCACATGTTTTGTTTGTCATAATACTAATCAGAAATTGAGATTGCCAAAAACCCTTGTAAAATTTTGCATCAAAATATACATAAATTAACCCTATTCCCCATCATCAGGAAATACATATTGATTCAACCTGACACCCTACATTATGTTGTCAGATATTTCCATATAGAGCTCATTACTAGGCAAAATAGCTGTCAATTAATAATTTCACACAAGTACAATTAGTCAGCACTTACTCTTATCTTCAAAGCAATATCAATGCTAAGGATAGCATATTATCTCCGTATAAATCTTCGAGACTATATATTTAGTCCTGATGTTAAAAAAAAAAAAAAAGTTTCTTATTATACAATTCGACATGCAAGATACAACACTTGTTCCTTTTTCTTAAAAAGGAGGACGAAAAAAAAAATCGAACTTCCACGAAATTGAGGATATAATAAATGAATACCCTAACCCAAGCGATGTTGAAGACTATGAAGAAGGTTTGGGGTTTGGATCGTTCTGTTTGTAGAGATTACTATGTTGTTCGAGTTCCTCATAATATATATCCCAAACGCATCGGACGCAGCCGCTGCCGCAACAATCACCGGGTTCCGGCTTCTCCGGCGGCGGCGGAATCTCCTTTGGCAGATTGTTGTTATCGGCGAGGGGGTTGGGTTTGGGTTGGATTGGGTTCGGCACGGGTGTATTTGCGGCTCGTGAGGGTTCGGCCATGCGATGGGGTTGGAAAAAGAAGGGTGGGGGTGGGGTGCGTTGAAGGGGAAATTTGGAGAGGGTGGTGTTGAGAGGAAGGAGCTTTTGGGTGAAATCGTAATGTGCAGTTCTCATTGTCTACGGCGCCGCCACCATCTCATTCTCTCACTTTGGGATTGGGTTTTGGGGATGAATGAAATCCAAGAGGACCAAGATTGGACGGTGTCGTTTTACATAGGCTTTGCGCGTTTCCCTGTTCTATTTGTCTGGCTCTTTCTTTTCTTTCTACAACCGGGGATGGATTAATTGGTTAAAATTAAATATATAAAACTTGTATATAACTTATCTTGTTTTATTTTTCGGTCTAAAAATGTATTAAAATAGTTTTCTACAATACAAGTTTTATTAATAATTTTTCATCATTATATATTTAGAGTAACGTTCTACACATTTTTAATTTAGTATTTATGTATATAATACATATTTAATTTGGTCATAGAGAATTTCAATCTTGTTAAATTAAGAATATATTATATAGAATTAGTAGAGAAATAGAGAATATGGATGATAATTAAACTCGTACTCTAGGGATCGACTCGTTTCAGTCTCGAGTTTGACGGGGAAAACTCGAGTTGTCCGGGGACAGGGGCGAGCTCGAGTTTTTCCCGCTTTAAAAGATGGAGACGAGGATGGGTAATGCAATCTCCACCCCGACCTCATCTCCGCCCCAACTTTATATTTAAATTTAAATTTTAAAATATTAATATTTTAAAAGTATTTCATTTTCATTTTCTATTACATATAGAGTCATTTTTTTATATTTCACCAATTTTTATTTTTTTCTACCCACCTTTTATTTTATTTTTATCTTTTTTTATTTTTTATATCAATTAATTTATTACATTATCCTCTCTCTTATCTTTCAGTTTTTCACATTTCCTTAATCTCTCCCATCAATTTGTTTTTTTTTAAATCTTTTCAACCAATTTGACGAACACAAAGTTATTTATTTTTTCTTCTTTATCTTTTTCTAAATATTTTACATAAATCTTAGTAGTAACTAATATTATTTTATTTATAATTTATATTTATTAGGTTTTATTATGTCATATTTTTTTATCTTAATAAAATAATTATATTTTAAAGAATTAAAAGGAATTGATAATTTAAATTTGTATTACTTTGAACTAATTAAATAAGAATTAACTTATTAAATATTTTCTTATAAACTATATATTTCATATTTTTAAATGACAACTTAAAAATGAATTAACTTATATATATAATCAAATGTTTGAACACAAGTATTATAATAATAATGTTATAAATATTCAAATATTTGAATACAGATGTTATAATAATAATGTTATAAATATTATATATATATATATATATATATATAAATAATGATTAAATATTTCTTTTACATACATATTTTAATATAAATATAATAAATTAAAATGTATATTTAATTAATAATAAGTATAAATTATAAATATTTATTTATATATAAAAATACATAGTAAAATTAATTTATTATAAATGTAATTATCTTTTTAAAAATAATATAGATTGGGGACGAGTGGGAACCCGAAACCTAACGGGAATGAAATCTTAATTTCTAACCCCGACGAGAATCGGGGATTGGGGACGAGGACTGGAGATTGTTAAAAAAGTGCGGGACGTAAATCGAGGACGCAAAACCCGTCTTCGCCCGTTGCCATAGAGAAATTAACGGGTTCAAAAGACTAAATTAGTATCACATGCATGTGTGAAAGTTAATTTAATAATTACATGGAGACTATATTATTAGTTAAAATAACCAAATTGCATACATCTTGACATTTTTTTTTATGAAGACTACAAAATTAACGTATTATTTCAAATTTAAAATTCTGAGTTCTTTTACAAAACACAAGGCCTCCAAGGAAAAATGGAGACAAAGGTAGCATAAAGGAACGTAATTGTTTAATGTAAGTCAAAGACATTGATTTAAATTAAAATTAAAATAAAAGATCTAAATTGGGATAAAATTAAAAATGAAATTACTGTAAGATACTTGAAGAATAACACTAAAAAGTTACTCATTATTTTATCTTTAATTTTTTTTACTGATCAATTCCATATTTAAAATGATAGATGAAGTGATTCCTTATATATATATATATATATATATATATATATATATATATATATATATATATATATATATATATATATATATATATATATAATTATTTTTTGAATGTTTCCTAATTAATCTTAATCATATAAAATATATCACATAATCTTTTTGAATTAATTAAAGTTATGCTTAATTCCTTTATTATTATTTAATAAATTATTGATTTTAAGCAATCATTAAAGAATTAAAAATTAAAAGTATTTATTATTACAAATGCATAATAATTATTCTAATAACTTCTATGCATTAATTCTTTGTTCTAATATGCATTAATTCTTTGTTTTATTTTATAGGGTTAAGTATGTTTTTAGTCCTTATATTTTCATGTGAAATTGAAAATAGTCTATCTGTCATAATTCACATAAAAATGATCTATATACTTTTGAAACTGTCATAGTTCACATAAAAATGATCCCTATACTTTTGAAATGATTGAAATAAATCTTTATTTTAAATGACATTAAATATATGTTAACTTGTCTAACAAAAATAATATGACTCATTCATTATTTGACACGTGTAATTATTTTAAAAAATAAAATTAAAAGATGTCAAACTTTTAAAAGTAATTTAAACCCGTATTTATAACATTTAAAAGTCATTTAAAAATAAATTTAAACTTCTCTGTCATTTATAAGTCATTTAAACTTCTCTATCTTAATTTTTGAAAATGAAAACCTAGTATACCACCGTCGCACACTTGTCATTGTGCACTACCGTCGTACTACCAATCGAACCACAATAAATCGATGGAACCCTCAAACTTCAAAATCACTTTCACTTCATACAACATTTACTTGAAAAAGGGAATAAAGAAAAAACTTTTTGTGTGTGACGAAAAAGAAAATATAATGAAAAGTGGTTATGACGAGAATTGAAAAGTTTTAGTATGTGAGAAAAAAAAGAAAAACTTCTACTTTTTAATTTTATTTTTTGTTTTTTCAAAAATAATAATCTTTGTTGAATAATTTCTATTTTTTTTAAAACAACTTTGTTTTTTTTTTAAATAATTACACGTGTCAAATAATGAATAAGTCATATTATCTTTGTTAAACAAGTCACCATATATTTAACGCCATTTAAAATAGAGATTTATTCCAATCATTTCAAAAATATAGAGATCATTGTTATGTAAACTTTGACAGAGAGACTATTTACAATTTCACATGTATAGGAACTAAAAACATATTTAACCCTATTTTATATATCATTTTTTGTTATGCATTCATTTGTTTGTAATGTCAAAGATCAAGGAGAATGGAAAGAATCATGAAGAAAAATGAAATACTCAGTCATTCCTTCTAGACGGTTTAAGGTATTTTAGAACATTTTCATACACAATAAATATTATTGAAGAAGCAGGAGCATTTCTCAACAGGTTTGCGGTAATTCCTTTGTAATAACCCCGTACACCTTCAAATCTGCAAGAACAGAACAAAATATATGATGGCAAGAAAAATAATTCAATCTGAAATTATCGAGAACATTTTAATTGGATAGTCTTTATAACTTGACAGCATTTCACCAAGAAGAGTCATTCTATAGTGTTGCCATAAGCATTGCGATAATCTTAACCACCAATAATATTTGTGATTCCTATCCACTTTCACCTGTGCGCCAATAGAGAGATGTAAACTAGATCTGGATGGGTTTAATATGTAGTTATGTACCGTGCAGTTTCTTTCACAACATGCCAAGTGCCCATATATCTTGGAACCCCATCATCACTAGGTCGTTGCTGCAGAAACAGAAATTTCAGTCCAACTCAGAATGATGCAGTCATGCACAGTTAATAGAAAAGAAAAGTGTAATGTTTATATCTTTGTAATGACATTCCTGTACCTGCAATCGGGTTCGTATAACCTAAAAAAAAAAGGGGTGAAAGTGTGCCTCATAAGAAAACAACTTCATCAATGATTGATATATCATATTCAAGGACTGTACAAGATAGAATCCTCCTCCAAAAGAGGGGACAGACAATAGTACCTGAAATGGATAGGTTAGCAGTATTGCAGCAAGTTTTGATGTTGCTCCAAGAACAGCATAATAGGCAGAATTCTGGGAAAAGAATTACAATATGAAAACATTACAACTGTAAGTTTTAATAAGATTGCTTAATCGTTTATGGCACAAAATCAATCGCAATCATTTGTAAACATCAGATAACAGTAAGTTAAGAGTACCAGGAAAAAAAAATAAAAATTTGAGACTACCAGACTCAAACATGTCTTGTAAAGCTATAAAAGTCCCTGAATACTACATAGCCATTTGAAAAGGTGAATAAAAGCTAACTGAGTTAACTAATCTCAGATCAAGTACACTGAGATAAAAAAAAGAGTATACAATAAAGTCAAAAACTATAGACACCCCCTACTCATGTGCAGGGAACAATCAGAGGCGTGATTCATGAGATACATCATTTTGCTCTACCAAACTAGAGGAATGATTATAGAAGAACGACTTGGAGAGCAATACAAGCGATAAAAAATAATCATTTAAGAAATGTAAATAGTCCAATGCATGTGAACTCCGGAGTTAAATGGATCCAAAGTCCTCTAACTTACCAGTAATTTATCAGGGTTTTGATTATGTATTGTAATTCTCTTACTCTTAAAATCAACAACAACTTTACGTAGCTGCTCATATGCTGTGATCTGAATAGCACCAACAGAAACCTGTTGAGACATAAATTCCAGTAAGCTTGTTGAAAAGAATAAAAAATAATAGTATCATTTTGAGGCTTCTGTCAATACTATCAGAATTTTAAAATTGCACTTCCACACCCTAGAGAAAAGTAGCAACCTAATAATGGCTTTAGTAAATTTGAACTGTAGTTTCATAAATAACTAAAAAGCTTCAGCAAAAAGTTATCATAAGATAAAGTTTTAACATAATAACATAACTAGTTTTACAGATGCAGGGAACCTTATTATTACTAATATCCTGGTAAGGAAAGAGTTAACAAATTTAAATAAATATGTAATCCACACAATGAAATAGATTTAATGACAGACAGACTCGTCCTTTACTTTCAAGCCTAACACTATTTCAGCCAAATTTTCTGCTAAATATTTTCTACTACCATGTAATCGCATGTAATAAGGTGAACTTTTTTAAAGAAGAATTACAATTTAAGAATTTTAAGAAAAAAATTCCGATCTCAAAAATAATTTAGAGGAATGGTCAACATATGGTTAAAACAAGAATTTCCTTCACGTAGTTGAAAGGCATTCCAAGTTGTGAATATTTTGGATAACGATTCCCAAAATAAAATTTTCTCAAAAAATTCATGATGATATTATGTTCCGAAACGGAAGGTTTTGGTGTATACTAAATTCCATCAACGTTCGGGGAAGTTTAATATAATGTTTGAGAATAAAATGTATACACACTACATGAAATTCGGGTAGTTGCAACTACTCACCTTAAACTTTTAAACTATGACAAACATCACAGTAGATCTCTCCTTCTTACTGCCACTAGGTAACAAAAGGAATGTTTGTCATGTGATCACATACGATGATCACTAAAATACATTAGCACTAGCACTATATTTAAACATAACAAGCATATATTCAATGACATTGGGCGAAAAAATTCAGGAAGTTACTTTAGTAAACTTTTCTTTTTATTGTACTTTTTGTTTCCAAAAGAATATTATCAATATTGCTTTGTCAAATCCTCACCCCACTAATCTCTTCATAGCTTCAAAGTTCAACAACCTTTAGAAAAATAGCACCCACTCTGAATAATACCATATCACTTGCCATGAAGCTACAGGCAAAAAAAAAAAAAAAGGAATTCCAATTTCACTCATGATTTTTACTTATTTGTCTGAATAATTCCCCCCTCCCCCTACTGTTACACAGCGAGGAAAAAAAGGGGGGAAGGGCAATGGGATATTTCGTGGAGAAATTTTTAATCATTTCCTAGCATAGAATATGCGTGAACGTCAGAGATGATATGAGCAAATCATTGGCTGAGATAAGTTAATGATTATGTAACAATCATACAATAAACTATCCTTAGTAACTTAACAGCAATTTAACGGAAGGATCTAGGATTTGTTGTGATGTTTTTAATATTGTATAATAATGAAAAGCACAAACACCTCTATTGAATATCGTGTTAGCATTTTAGAGACTTTCCGGACATGATACTTGTTAGACACATCTTCTACAGATCTCACAGACCTCCCTTGTGTTGCAATTAAACAATATTTTGACTTAAACACTTCTTGGACACAGTTTGAGTTCGAGTATGAGTTAGGCGATACCTCTTTTTGACTAAACACTAATATTAGAAAAAGCAAAAAGAAATAATAAAAAACAAGTTATTTTATAAATATTACAAGTTTCCATAGGACTTAACTAGTTGTTCCAATTATTATTAAGAGATACGTTTTCCAGTATTTTATTGTATGGGTTGTTATTAATCAAAGCATAAAGCTTGGGAAATTTGTGTTCACAATGTGAATTATATATATATATATATATATATATAGGGTTAGAATCCGTTTACACTAGATGTAAGTCAACCTCAACGTTAATTTTACCATTTTTTATGATTCTGATCAGTTCAAAAATATGATTGTTCACAACTGTCAAGTTATTATCCTAATTGTTCATTTTCTTGAAATCTAATAATTAAAATTAGTTACACGTTAAATTATTTACTCGTTAGAAACCTTTAGATTTCAAGAAAAATGAATTGTTGAGAGGAGAAATAACACCCTTGAGTCACTTCTTGGAGTAACTTCCTTTCACACTCTATATATATACGTACATAAAAACATTGGTCCGATGCCATATACTATGGAGATTAGCTGCTTTATGGTGTCTGTGTCGGTGTCATCTCCAGTGTTTATGTAAGGTTAATTTTTCATAAAAGTATTAATTGGTGATTAAGAGTTCATAGTGACTAGTTCTAAGGGTGTGATGTTCATTATAAATTGCGAAAAAAAGACCTTTATCTTTATTTAAGCACAATACCACACATTATATTTAATTTACAATTTAAGTACAAATATTGATGGGAAAAAGAACAAGAGCCAACAACATACCAGAAACAGACTAGGAACAATCCCTTTGTAAAGTGCACTCACTCCTTCTTCCCTCATTATGGTCCTAAATGCATCTGATATTTCATTTTAACAGAATAAGATTTCACAACTAATTAGCAACTCATAAATTGATGAATATAACTACAATAAACAAAAAAAGCTAATATATATATATATATATATATATATAGTGATCATGAGACTATCACATGGCAAACACATTCTCCTAGTAACTTACAGTTATTAAGGAAGGATCAATTATGAAGCGCTGATAGTCTTTGGGATTTTGCAGATAGAAGTGTTTATAGTGGCTAGTTGCAAACGGCACAATGTTGAATATGGTTTGGAAAATAAAGACCTAGAGCTTTTTTGAGGGGTGAATAAGATTGTTTCCCTTCATGTAAGCATAATCCGTGCATTATATTTAACTATATTAAAAAATTTTAAGTTCTAAGATTGATAACCAGCAACATACCAGAAATAGACCAGGAACAATTCCTCTGTAAAGTGCACTAAATCCTTCCTCCCTCATGACTGGTTAGCAATTCATATGTTGAAGAACATAAAATAAACAAATTATATAGTGACTATCATGTTTTAGGTAGTTGAGTGAAAATATAACCAACGCTTGTCCACAAAGCAAAAAGGAAAAAATGAAAGTCAACTTATGCACCTTGCTCGTACATCTTGATCACTCCTTTCCTTTCTCAAAAAACAACTTAAATCTTCTATGTATAAATTAAAGTTGAAAACAAGTTATTTAACTAGTCCCAGAATCAACATTATTAGAGTATAGCTCGTCGTTACTCAAAAAAGTATAGTTTTCTGTACGAGCAGTAGAATAGATATAACTGTCACTATAGTAGTATGGTTGTCTCTTCTAACCTTCTGACTGTAACTTACTTAGGTATATTACATGTTAATTAGAGTTCTGTATACTTAATTGTATTCAGTTAGGTTTGTTACATATTAGTTAGATATATAGACTTCATTGATTGCACTTAGTTACTCGGGTTACAAATCCATTTTACATGAATTCTAAGAGCTTATTCGTTTACTATTTTGAAAATCAATTTTCAGTATTTTAGTTTTTAAAAACAAAAAACTTGTTTGATAACTGTTTTATTAAAACAGTTTTTTTAATTATTTTTGTTTTTTAGTTTTTAGAAACTAAAACTAATAAAAAGTGTTTTCAGTTTTAAGTTTTCTGATTTCATTAATGACATCAATGCATACGTAACCTACCTTAATCACCGTGAAGTTGTCAAAATTGATTTTGAACTTTAGTCACAACTTTTTGTCGTTATTAATATCATCCTTTTTTGCTTAGAATAATCGTCAAAATTAGACTTATCAAGTTTTTTTTTTATTCATTTTCAAAAACAAAATTTTAAAATTGATCTCTAGAACTGTTTTTAAAAACTAAAAATCAAAACTAAATCAAACAAGCTCTAAATTTCTTATTCACTCTCTCAACCTTAATAAAGGTCATCCAAGACAATGCAATGAAACAAATAGCATGAATGGCACATGCTTAATACTAGTTAGTAATGAATCACTGAATACACATATAGAATCGGCCATGATTCCAAGACCATTTTTGGGTGAGAGAGATAGATGCTCCCTATCAAATTCTCTTACTCAAACTGAACCAAATGACCTATCTTTCAACTTTTAGATACTAATTTCATAAAATTAGAGTGAGGTGACAGATTAAGAATAATCTTATGTAAAAGATAAAGTTATGTAATTATAGATACCATCTAGATTCAAAGCACAAATAATTGAATGCCGTAAATTCTAAAAAATCCAAAGTAAACAGTTAAAAGTTAATTTAAGATGAAGAACTGACCATAAAGCCCAGAGTATGGACGGATCTGATGAATTGGAGTTTGAAGCTGCAATCTTGTCTTTACTAGCCACACAGGATTTGTGCACAAGCAAACCTGATCAATGGCAATGGAAACCAAAATAACTGAAGATTCAGTTTTGATCCCATCCCATACAAATCTGTGCCACTTGTTTGGCAGGCTTTGGAATCCTAAGCATACTACTGTTAAAGCTAAGCAAGATCTCAAAGATAAGCACATAGATAGGGAAATTGAAAACTTAAGTGTATTAGTTCCATCCTCACAAAAAGTTTAAACAATAGTTTTCATTGGCAAATTCATCATATACAGTTTACCTAAAGTACTTCGTCGTGGATTTGATTCCTCCAAAGTGAATCTAAATTGAGGGGTTCGTTTTAGACAGAAAAATAACGTATTCATCAATTAAGGGGTTATTTAATTGTTGATTTTCATATTAGTGGCCTTATCATCTCCGTTTTCCCTTTAAAGTTAATCACTCGCTTTGGATAAGTCAAATTCCTTCAATGTATTACCTTTCATCTCTCCTACAGCTCATTAGTAACAAAATTTAAAATGCAAAAACCTCAGGAGCAGGGAAAACTCTGAGATCCAACAACGTTCAAGCAAAGTTGTACAACAAACTCACCAAGAGTCATATATGTGGCTTTCTATTCATAATATCTGGATTTTTCTCACTTACCAAACTTCCTGCTTCAGCAGCTGAGGCAAGATGAAAACCTGGGCTCAACTTCCCCTCACTGTTTCTTGCATATCTTTTTTTGGCTTTGTCATAGCTGCAAATTTAGAAAAAAGGTTTGGTACAATGACTTTGGTCGTTTAGGAAAACAAGCAAATGGACCAGTAACCACTCTAACAATAATTAATCACTCAATTCTGGAAGGTAAAAAATTAAGATGGGGAGGATAATCCTTTGGCAGGAAAAAGAACAGTGAATCTACAGAAGTTGTTTGATGTTAAATGAAACTACTACTAACTGGAGACTAGGAGATATTGACATTGTTAGATATTGTTAAGATATTGTTAGATATTGTTAACCACAATATCAAACAATATCTTCTGTTTATTTTGTTTACTTTTGGTTATTCTTTTAGTTGTACTTCTCTCTATTATAAATAGATTACCCTATGTATGATTTATACACAAGGGAGATTAATCTCAAACTGTATTTCCTCTATATTCAACATGGTATCTAGAGCTTAAGGTTATTTTGAAATTTTTCCGCCATTATCCACTGCTGAAGTCACCACCGCCGCTGCCTGCCAGTTAAAATAATCTTCTACATCAGAAAAAAGTTATCTTTGTTACTGGATATTATTTGGTAGTGTGAAAGTGCATGTCTAGGAAGGTTCTGACAAGGAAAGACTTGGTATTTAAGCGTGTTCATTAATGACCCACCTCTCTTTTCTGGGAACTTACCTGGTGTACTGGTTCACGCTGCTATCACTGTCGCTGCCGGAGCAGTCGCCGGAGCCGTTGTGGGAGTTTCATTTTTGACCGGTGACATACGGTTTTGTTCATTTCGGTAAGGTGATTACCGTGACGTTGAGATCACCACTATCGGAGTTGGTCGTCTATTGTCTCCTACGTTGCTTAGTCTCAACGGACTTGTTTTGGTCTTCTCGTTTTGGATCTGTGCTTCATGGGTTGATTGGATTACTTTGGATTTTTTTAGGGTTTGTTCTCCTGCCCTTCATGATTTCTTCCACTCCTTCTACTACTTCCAATTCTGTTAATAATTCTTCTGTGTTGGTATCTCACCGTGATGACCGGACTCGTCCTTGCAAACAGGGAAAAGGGCGTCCTAAGTGTGAACATTGTGGCAAGCTAGGTCACAAGATTAACAAGTGTTATGCATTACATGGTCGTCCTCCTCGATCTGCTGCAGTTGTTCAGACCAATCTTTCCCCACCTTTGTATGCTGGGGATCCTCCTTCTTCTGTTGCATTCGACACACCTGCTATGTTCAACAAATTTCTCAAATGGTATAAGGATCAACAATCTTCAAATTCCACTACGTTTGTCGCACACACAGATACATATTTTGCTGGTCTGACCCAATCATCTTCTCCTGGTCCTTGGGTTTTTGATTCAGGAGCCACTAATCATATTACTGGTAACAAATCTTTGTTCTCCTCTTCTAATCCTTTACCTTCTGTTACACTAGCTGATGGCTCTAAAGTATCATCTCATGGTGTTGGAACTGTTAAGTTTTTCCCTTCTTTAACCATTGATAATGTTTTTTATGTCCCTGAGTCTCCTTTTAACCTGTTGTCCATCAGTCGTCTAACTCGTTCTCTTGATTGTGTTGTTTCTTTTACCAACAATTCTATGTGTTTACAGGACCGGAGTTCGAAACTGATGATTGACACAAGATATAAGTCTCATGGTCTTTATCGTCTCCATCCCTCTACACATGTTGGTGCAGTTATGGAGTCTCCCTCTCTTCTTCATGCTCAGTTAGGTCATCCAAGTCTTGCCAAGTTACAGAAACTTGTCTCTGCCTTGTCTAACTTGTCTAGTTTGGCGTGTGAGTCGTGTCAATTAGGCAAGCATAGTCGTACTTCCTTTCCTCATAGTGTCACACGTGGTGTTTCGTCCCTTTTTGTCGTGGTTCACTCTGACATTTGGGGACCTAATCGCGTTAAGTCTACTTTAGGTTTTCAATACTTTATTACTTTCATTGATGATTATTCCATATGCACTTGGTTATTTTTGATGAAAAACCGTTCTGAATTATTTCATATCTTTCAAACTTTTTTCAATGAAATTCAAAACTCAGTTCGGTGTTTCTATTAGAGTTTTGCGCAGTGATAATGGTCATGAATATCTTTCTCATTCTTTTAAACAATTCATGGTTTCTCACGGTATCCTGCATCAAACTTCTTGTGCTTATACACCTTAACAAAATGGTGTAGCTGAACGCAAAAATAGACATATTATTGAAACAACTCACACTCTTTTAATTCATGGAGAGGTTCCTCAACATTTTTGGGGTGATGCTCTTCTTACTGCATGTTATCTCATTAATCACATGCCTTCTTCGGTTTTAGATAATAAAATACTTCATTCCATTTTATTCCCTCATGAACCTCTTCATTCCTTACCTCTTAAAATTTTTCGGGTCTACATGTTTTGTTCATAATTTAAGTCCCGGTATTGATAAACTTTCTCCTAAATCACATAAATGTGTTTTCTTAGGGTTTACAAGATCACAAAAAGGATACAAATGTTTTTCTCCTTCTCTTAACCGTTATTTTGTGTCTGCAGATGTCACATTTGATGAGTTCTCTCTTTATTTTAAAAATCAATCTTCACCTCTGTCTCCATCCAATCCTGTCAACACTCCTAGTACATTTAATGTTCCTGTTGTGTGTGACCCTCTAACTGTGTCTTCTTCACCATTAGTTCCTATTCCGCAGTTAGCTTCTTCTCCACCGCCTCTTCAGGTTTATAGTTGTCGAAATCAATCACAACCACTACCATGTGACTCCACTCAAATGCCAACTACTCTGTTTCCTCCGGATCTGACACCTGAGTCTAACCTTCCCATTGCCCTCCGAAAAGATATCCGTTCTACACGTAATCCCTCTTCCCATTATATTGCTTTGAGTTATCATCGACTGTCATTACCTTTTTATACATGTCTTTCTTTTATTTCTTCTGTGACCATTCCAAAAACTATCCGTGAAGCTTTAGCCCATCCTGGTTGGTGTCAGGCCATGTTAGATGAACTAAGTGCTCTTCATAATAGTGGAACTTGGGAATTGGTCCTGTTATCGTCTGAAAAATCTGTTGTTCGTTGTAGGTGGGTGTTTGCTATCAAAGTTAGACCTAATGGTATTATTGATCGCCTCAAAGCTCGTTTTGTGGCCAAAGGTTATACTCAAATTTTTTGGTTGGATTATGGAGATACCTTTTCCCCTGTGGCGAAAATGGCTTATGTTCGTTTATTTATCGTCATGGCCGCTCTTCAACAATGGCCTCTATATCAACTGGATTTTAAAAATGTTTTTCTCAATGGTGATTTGATATGAATCACAAGGGGTGATTTAGGATCTTTAGGGTTAGAACCTTGTAAGAAATTTAGGAATTAGAAAGAAGGTGAAAGGAAAGAATCACTCTTCCCAAGGGAGGCAACACACAAAGGATGTGAAAGTCCTTTGATACAGCCAAGGGTTCTTGAATCACTCAAGAATTTAGGAGAATCACTCTCACTAAGATAAAAGAGATAAACTCTAATATTTCCAAAAATAAAACTCAACTTGTTATTTCTGATAAAAATGGTTTAGCTTATAAAGAAGCTTTGCCATCAGAGTTTCAAATATTCATTAAAGAAAAATAAATGCTAATAATGATTTATTAACCTAAGAATTGAAAACTACTTAATGATTGATTGTAACTGAAATTGTGGCATCCAAAAGTCAATCAGCTATGCACCCTCTTGGTCTCCCAAAGACTAATAACTAAATTTCCAATTGGACCCTTATTACAACTTGCAATAAAACTAAACTAAAGTCCATTAATTGATTAATCCAAAACACAATTTGGTCAACCAACAATACTTGTTGAAGAGCTTCTTTTGCTTCCCTTGCTCTAGCCCTTATCATAGGTCATGTTCACATCATGATTTGCAAGAAGAAATTTATATGGAGCAACCTCCTGGGTTTGTTGCTCAGGGGGAGTCTTCTGGGATGGTATGTCGTCTTCGCAAATCCCTATATAGCCTAAAACAGTCTTTTAGGGTCTGGTTTGAAAAGTTTAGCAATGTTGTTCAACAATTTGGTATGACTCGATGTGAAGCAGATCATTCTGTCTTTTATTGACACTCGAGTGCTGGATGTGTTTACTTGATAGTATATGTTGATGACATCGTTCTTACAGGTAGTGACAACCATGGCATCTCTCAGTTGAACCAACATCTATGTCACTATTTTCAGACCAAAGATCTTTGCAAACTTAGATATTTCTTGGGTATTGAGGTGGCACATCCAATGATGGTCTTGTTATATCTCAAAGGAAGTATGCCATGGATATTTTGGAGGAAACTGGGTTAATGAGTTCAAAGTCTGTTGATACACCCATGGATCCTAATACTAAACTTCTACCAAATCAGGGGGAGCCTATATCTGATCCTGAGCAGTATAGAAGATTGGTTGGAAAATTGAATTATCTTACAGTTACTCGTCCTGACATTTCCTTTGCAGTCAGTATGGTAAGCCAATTTCTTAATTCCCCATGTGAAGATCATTGGAATGCAGTCATTTATATCTTGAAGTATATTAAAGGATCTCCTGGAAAAGGATTATTATATGGTTCTAATAACCATACAAGAGTTGTTTGCTACTCAGATACTGATTGGGCAGGATCTCCTTCAGATAGAAGATCTACATCTGGATATTGTGTCTCTATTGGTGGTAACTTGATTTCATGGAAAAGTAAGAAACAGAGTGTTGTGGTAAGATCCAGTGCAGAATCAGAATATAGAGCTATGGCCTCAACTTCCTGTGAACTTGTTTGGCTCAAGTAATTGCTTAGAGAGTTACAATTTGGATATGTCATTCAAATGACACTTGTGTGTGACAATCAGACTGCTTTTCACATTAGTTCTAATCTTGTCTTTCATGAAAGGACCAAACACATTGAGATTGACTGTCATTTCATTCGAGAAAAGGTTATGTCTGGAAACATCAAGACTGAGTTTGTTAACTCAAGTGATCAATTAGCAGATATTTTTACTAAGTCTTTACGGGGGCCTAGAATTGATTATATTTGTAACAGGCTTGGCACATACGATTTGTATGCTCCAGCTTGAGGGGGAATGTTAGATATTGTTAAGATATTGTTAGATATTGTTGACCACAATATCAAACAATATCTTCTGTTTATTTTGTTTATTTTCCGTTATTCTTTTAGTTGTACTTCTCTCTATTATAAATAGATTACCCTATGTGTGGTTTATACACAAGGGAATCTCAAACTGTATTTCCTCTATATTCAATAGACATATTGATTTGGTGAGTGTTAGGAGACAAATTCTCAAACTTATTGAAAAAAAGTTGAAATTTAACTTGAGAGAATGCATATGTGCATAAATACCAAGACGCAAGCATCCAAGAGTCAGACATCCTATATAATATCATTCTCTCCTAGTGCATTCAGATATACAAAATGATAGGTTAATTATCACTGGTGGATTTAGTACTTACAAAAAGAAATATAAACCCCACGCAATACTAGACCCAAGAACCCCAGGAAGAAAGCCTGCATATAAACCTCTTAATCCCTGCAAGATACAAAATGGCACATAAGTAGCACATTCATAGTATTACATGCACAAAGTTCATAAAACAAAAGTTTCTCTCCTATTGCAACTTTGCCATTACCAAACCCATAAAATAATATGTGGAAGGAAAGGACATTGAGCCTTTCTATTGATCTTACCTGCAAGTGCAACCATGATAACATTGAGAGGGAGGATCTTATTATTTGATACTTTTATTTGTTGTATGTAAGCCCTACCATTTGTTATAATTTTAGCATTTTTCACGTTGATGCATTGTTGTATCCTATACGTGTACATTTTATTAGAGATAGATTATTTTATTATATTGTTAGCATAATCGTTGCTGCCCCCGCTGCCCCCTTTCTGTTTTTTTGTTTTCTCTCTTTCTGTTTGCTTTTCTGTTAGAGAAAGATGGTATTCTCTTTTCTTCTTTTCTCTTAGTTCTATATAACTGAACCAATGTATCCCTTTAAAGTTGAGTTGATCTTTTTTTTAATGCAATGAGAAATGATATACCATCATTCTATGTTATAACCAACACAGAACCACTTCCAGCGGACCGTGTTCAAATCACTGAACCACCAACACGTATTTCAAACAGAATCAAGAAGCCACGTGCTTACTTAGTTGATTATCATTGTCCCACTATTGCTTCCTCTCATGCTACTTCTCGCATTCCTTATCCTTTGCATTCATATCTTTCATATTCTAATTGCTCTACTTCTCACACTGTTTTTTGTTTGAATCTTTATAGTACATTCGAGCCAACCTCTTTTAAGGAAGCGAATCAAATTGACTGCTGGAAACTGGCCATGTTAGCTGAACTACAAGCTCTACAGAGGAACCAAACTTGGTCATTGGTTAGTCTCCCACCAAGAAAGAAGGTTGTGGGGTGTAAATGGGTCTACCAAACCAAGTTCAAACCGGATGGCTCCATTGAAAGACACAAGACAAGATTGGTTGCCAAGAGTTTTACTCAAACCGAGGGGATAAATTTTTTTGAGACTTTCTCCCCTGTTATCCAATTAACCATTGTGCGGTTTTTACTTTCCATTGTTGTCTCTTCTGGTTGGATTCTACATCAACTTGATGTTGATAATGCTTTCTTGCATGGTGAACTTGATGAAGAGGTGTACATGAAACCACCACCCGAATTGTCTCTTTCTTCTCCTACACTTGTTTGCAAGCTCTACAAGTCTTTATATGGCCTACGACAAGCACGCCGACAGTGGAATATCAAACTTACCTCTGCCGTAATCACCTTCGGATTCACTCAAAGTAATGCTGATCACTCTTTATTTGTTAAGCAAGATGGTGGTTCATTCATAGCTCTTCTAGTTTATGTTGATGACATAGTGCTTACGGGCAATAATCTTGGCACCATTAATCATCTCAAAACCTATCTTGATAATCAGTTTCACATTAAAGACCTTGGTGAGTTGAAATACTTCTTGGGTTTTGAGGTTGCTCGATCCAAATGTGGCTTAGTTCTCAATCAGCACAAATATTGTCTTGATATTTTAGCTGAATTTGGTCTGATGGGTTGCAAACCCGTATCCTCTCTTGCTACTCCCTCCGTTAAGCTCAATGATGATGATGGAGATTTAATTTTTGAACCAACCAATTTCAGGAGACTCATTGGCAAACTCTTGTATCTTACACATACAAGACCTGATATAAGTTTTGCAGTGCAACAGATAACTCAATTCATGACAAACCCACGAAGCTCTCATTTACAAGCCGCCATTCGCATTCTCAAATACCTGAAAATTTCTCAAATACCTGAAAAATGCTCCTGGACAAGGTCTTTTTTATCCTGTCCACAATTCTCACAGACTTCAAGCCTTTGTAGATTCAGACTGGGCAAGTTGCAGTACCACTAGAAGATCTATCAAAGGATATTGCGTCTTTTATAGCATTGTTTAATATCCTGGAAATCCAAAAAGCAAAACACCGTGTCACGTAGTTCAACAGAGGCTAAATATAGGGTCTTGGCTACTGTAGCTTGTGAATTACAGTGGCTGCAATACATTGCAAATGATTTATCCTTAAATATTCCTTTACCAATTTCCACATTATGTGATAATCAATCCTCCATACAATTAGCCAAAAATCCTTCATTTTATGAGAAAACCAAATACATAGAGATTCACTGTCACTTCATCCGTACCAAGATTGTTGAAGGTCTCATTCTTCTTTCATATATTCCTTCACAGCACCAACTTGCGGACATGTTTACCAAAGCTTTATTTCCTGCACCTCTTGCCGCAAATATGTCCAAGATGGGTTTCATCAACATTCATAACCCACCTTGAGGAGGATATTAGAGATAGATTATTTTATTATATTGTTAGCATAACCGTTGCTGCCCCCGCTGCCCCCTTTCTGTTTTTTTTTTTTTCTCTCTTTCTGTTAGCTTTTCTGTTAGAGAGAGATAGTATTCTCTTTTCTTCTTTTCTCTCAGTTCTATATAACTGAACCAATGTATCCCTTTAAAGTTGAGTTGATCTTTTTTTAATGCAATGAGAAATGATATACCATCATTCTGTAATATATTTGTCAGCAAAAATTGGTTTTCTTTCGTCTCGCTATGAGAAACAAATTCCGTAAGATTTCAGGTTGTAGCATTAACCTTGTCAAGTTTCTGTGCACCGAATACCAGAAACCATAGTGCTGACTTTATCATATTTGCAGATGAAAATACTGGCAACACACTCTATTTTATTAATTAAAATGATTGGAAATGACAAAATCTTATGGATCTTAAAGGATTGATTTACTATTATTCCTCTTGTCAGATTTACTAGTGCTAAAAATCAGCTGTACTATATAGGTAGGGAGTAAAGGCGTCATGTAATTCAATACATTCTGACAACTTTATGCCTAGAAGTTTCAGCAATCATCTATCAAGATAATTTTCCTTCTTAAGGAATAAGGGTAAACGAAAATCATAACAAAATAAAATAATTCACCGATCGGCGATCACGATATGCTAGCAAAAGCAATGAGCTCAAACAAATGACTTACGGCAATTTCCCTATACATGATCATTGAACGGAAAATTTTGAATCTTTGATTGACAGTTAAAGAAGAACGTTGATAATTGAACCCGTTGTCAAAAACACAGACGTTGGTCGATTAAGGATTCACAAACCTCGGAGCGAGTAATGGTGAAAACGGCGTGAGCAGTGTTCTTATAACTGGGAAGATGCGACACTCGACCATCGTTAACTGCAGAATCAAACAAAGCTTCATATGAATGGAAGGCACGAAAAAACAGAAATCTTCAGTTATATGAGAAGGGAGAGAACCTTGGAACCTAGTTCGAACGACATCAAGGGGATGCATAACAACCACGGCTGTGAACCCTGCGGCTGCGGCTGCGCCGGCGGTGGCGTTCTCATTTCGCATTCCAACAAAGATTACAGAATTAAAAAAAAAAAATTATACTTTTAATTTTTTAACAGGATCAAAATAATTAAATTGTTAAAATATATATAAATCTTCCATCTTATTGAAAAAACATCCTCTAAAATGAATTTCCCTATTTTCTCGTTATATATCCGGATTAATTGCCATATTTTTCTTATATTATTATTTATAGGAGAGAAAAAAGTGAAATAATTTTTAAAATTACAATGTATGAACTTTTACTTTTTTTTTTAATTGTCACATTGACATTTGCAGAGATAATTTTTAATATAAACTAAATTTTAATTTTTAGAAAATTTTGTTTAATTTATGTGAAGGTTGCAACATAAAACTAATTGACAATATGTGGAGTTGTTTAAACATTTTAACACACCCTCCAATAAAGTCTGTCGGATCAGGCAAAGGATACTGACTCTGATACCATGTTAAGGTTCGAATATTAAACTAATTGCGATATGTGAAGTAGTCTAACATGTATTTAAATCATATCAAATGATACTGGTGAGCGACGTGGTAATTTTAACAATTTCAATTCTTATTCTCTTTTCTTATTAATGATTATGAAAAAAAAAAATCAAACAAACTCCATATAATTTAATATAAATTAATACTAGTATTTAAGTTTTATATAAAGCAGCATATTATAGTACATCTTAACCAATATCCATTAAAGTTTCATTCTATCATCCACTATTCTTTCGTTTACAGTTAAATTTCAAAATTATTAAATATAATTAATATATCTTACAATCAATCGTGATAAATCCTCATTTGATCAAATTATGTTTTTTCTCTCCCTAATATCATAATATATAACAAAAACAAATCTAAAAAAATTAGAAGATCTATGATTCTGGAAATCGAAAGGTTAATGCTTAGTTGTTCTTTTAAAAATATTTTTTAATTTTTAAAAACTCAAACAATAAAAAAATGAGAAAATCATCCTTCAAGTTTTATTATAATTCTCCATTGTGATCTACGTAGTTCTTTTTATTCAAAAGCATTTTAAATTAGAGTTATCAATTTTTTTTAATTCTATAAATTATTCACATCTCATACACTTATTTTAAACTAGATTTATGAAGATGAAATACAAATCATACATTCGTTAAACAGTTGCCATTAATCCAACGCGTGAATGTAGAAGGAAATCTACTAGCGCATGTAGCGAATCGTGGTCACCTTAAATAAACAAAGAAATATATAATTACAGTCTAATAAGCGTTTAAAAATAAGTTTATATAAACACACTAACAACCAGTTTAGTGTGATACTTTTCAAATTAAGTTTCACAAAACGATAGTTTTATTCATTTTATGTGATACTTTTAGGATCATAGTTAGAATTCCGCTGAGTTTTTAGTTAAGTTCCTCACAAAAAAAAATTCCCATTTTGGGAGGGTGAAAATTCAAGATTCTCTTTAAAAAGGGTTTTTTTTACTCGTAAAATTGTCTCATTCGCCGAAATATTTTAAGCATTCCAATAATTTTGGGGAACATTATTCCTAAAAGATATAATGATCAAGAAACAAGTTTTTCAGTAATGAAATGATTTCGCATTCCACGTACCCCTTAAATATACCTTACTTTCATTTAAGGTAAAATTATTAGGAATTGACAAGTTAACAGTGAATAATTAAAAATAAGACTAGTAATTAAGTGTTCAGTGTGATGTTTAAGATATTCAATATTTAAGCTTGGCTATTTTCTCGGAGGTTGGTCCATGTTCAGGTCCTGGTTCTAGTGTCCTATTCTCTAAAATGGTTAAAATAAAATCAAAAGGTATTCAAACACATCACTTTGTACGATAGTCATTTTTTAGGTTTACATACACTTGTCCAAACAAAAAAATAAAGGCCAAATGCAAACAATTATTTCGGGAATTGGAAGTAGGGATGGCAAAACGGGTCAGCCAGTCCCGTTTTGGCCCGCCCCGCCTTTGGCCCGCCAAAAGCGGGACGGGCGAGCTGGCCCGATATAGTCATGACGGATTGTAGACCTTGCCCGCCCGCCAGTGGCGGCTGACCGCCATAATTTAGAAAAAAATATTTTTTTTAAATATTTTTTTAATAAATTTAATAATAAAATTATTATTTGTTTATCAATAATTCAATATATATATATATATATATTATTTCAATTTAATAATATAAATTAATACATTATTTTAAGAAATTATAATTTAGAACAATAATAAAATTTACATAATAATAAATAATAACAAATATATATATATATATAAATAACGTTAAACTTATAAAATTTATATTTTTTATATTGAAAAATTCAAATACCTATATCTTTTTTATTTGATAAAACTTCATATTATTCTTGGTTGAGTAGTTTTTACACCATTAATTCAAGTAATAAGGATAAAAATAATCAGTGTTTAGGATAATTAAGGAGAACGAGGAGAGAATGTTATGTTTCAGAAAGGAGAATATTTTACGTGAGAATAAAACTTTTTTAATTCTCTTTTTAAAATTTTTAACTTTATATATTATCTTTATAATTAATTTTATTACAATAAAAAATTATTTTTTTATTAATTATGCGGGTTGCGGGCTGACCCGCCTGTCCCGCGGGTTGGCCCGAAGGGTTGACGGGCTTGGCAGGACGGGCCAAAGCGGGCTGGTGGGCTGAAAACACCAACCCGTCCCGCCATATTATGGCGGGTTGGCGAGCCGGCCCGCCGGGCCTAGCCCATTTTGTCATCCCTAATTGGAAGTTCAATCTCAGCGTCACTCTTCTACCCAGGATGTGCAACAAAGGTAAATTCCAATATATAGAGACGGCGTCTTACAATCACTATTTAACAGCTGAGTATAAGAGACACTATGAAACTCATTCTTACTGCTTAGCTTCCTTGATAAACTATTCTGCTTTCAGAGACTGATTTACCTAGCAATTATGCAAGGCTGGGATTTAACAGAAATGAGGGGCAGTTGCACATACAAAAACTCTCGTTATATCGGGGAGAAAGTTTCCTTCAAGAGTCAACCTTGTGACCCATAGCATATTCACATAGAACAAGAGTAAACGGGTGGAAAGGATGTATCAAAACGTCATCAAAGGGGATACAAATTTGATAAAAAATCAAAATTAAGTCAATACCAAAAACTGCAGTACTGTACACAGCCAAGAGATAGCAATCAGGGCATAACTTCAGTTCTAGTTGTCCATTACACGTGATTGCGTGGTCATGGTAGTTCAGTGGACAACCAATTGGATCTAGAAACATCAAGTAGCGAGTATATGTTGGTTCAAAAATGATTCCATTGTCATAAACCAATTCTATAACATTGGTTCAGAGATGATCAAGAATATTCAAGGTAAAAAGTGCCTCATGTAAAGGGAGAAATAACAATAAAAAAGGAAGTGAGGTGGGTGCATCGCATGCTTAGCAAAGTTTTAAAATGAAATAATGAATAACAGTTTCGCGTTGTAAGAAGACATTGATTGACTTCCATCACCTGCCGATAACTTGAGTGTGAGGCATAAGCTGCGACACTTTATCAAAGCAAATTATACTCTACCTCATGTTTTGTATGTCATCTTCTCTTTTCCTAGACAAGTTATTATATACAAATTAGAAAATGAGAATTCCAAAAATCTCTCATGATAGCGTTTAAAGTAAAATCTCTACATCGTCACAGTTTTCCATATTAATAATTTCATAAAAGTTCAACCATCCAACACTTATTCTTATCTTTGAAGTAAAATCCACACCATTTGCATGAATCCTTTTTACATTCGAAAGAGTGTATAAGGAAAACAGACAATGGTTAGCATTTGCTCGCGGCAGTACTTTGTCTATAGGAGAGATAAATTAATTGAAGGGCGTCAAACTTTGTTTGTTGTTAGGATCACTGGCAAAATTTCTTTTCTTTTTTATCCCTACAAATGGTCGTCATTAAAACAAGCTTTATAATATACTTTAAAATTACATTCCCAATAATGCTATTCTTGGATTAACTAAAAAACACGTTTGGTTAGAATTTAATATATATGAGAATATTATTTTCATAATTTAAATGATAAATGATAAATGTGGGAGTGGGATGAGAGTTACCAGATGTTATGGTTTGGTTATATCATAACAACATTCCCATCCATAATCATGACACGGAAAATAAAGTCAAATATGAGAATGATACTTTCAATGGGAATTGAAATTGTTAAAGCTTATGAATAACACAGGAATGTCATATTCCCAAGCTCATATTTCAAGGAATAATTTTACATAGGATGAAACAAACACACCTCAGAAGAATGATATTATGCTCTAATTGTTCAATTAAACATAGATATTCCAGTTGAGCCAACGACTGTAGGTGACAAATAGCTAGGAGGATAACTCAGTTTATGCACACAAGTTCTCTAGATATACTCAAGTATTATAGCCTGCTTAGTTTAGCGATGGTTTCAAATGTCGTCATGTAAAATTCCCGAATCCAAGTAACAACTACTTCCATGTAGCTTCTAATTTTCCCATTTTTTATATCCGTCATCAGCTTTGAATGCACATTCAAAGACCCACTGAGTATTCTCTAATTTTACAAGCTGAAATTTTTTTATTAAATCATGGGATCTCTATCAACCCACTAGTCCCAGAACAAAATGCCATAAAAAACAACTGACAAATTCGTGAACAGCAGGATTTTAAACTGCTTTAGCAATTGCATCACAATTATCAGAATTTCGAAAGAGGCCACAGGTGAGAACCAAGCTTGGTGAGGCCCAGAAACCATAGTGCTTAAAAAGCATGAGAAGAGTTCCATAAAAGCAACTCTTTGTACTGATTGGAATAAAATAAATAAGAGTGATACATGCTCTATTTAGAGCTTATTGAACTAGTAACTAACGCCAAATTAACTAATCTCGAATATAAGAACTAACTAACAACCTATGTCGGGAAAAATAACAAAATCACTGCAAAAGGTGCTGATGGGGCCTCAATTATGGTAGCAATGTAGTTGTGAAAACTTCCAAAACAATGAAAACCATGAGAGCAACATGTCTAACATGAAAGCACACTCTCCGGCGAGCCTAAACAAAACACAAGATCCTACAAGAACAAAGCTAATGAGCAACATTCCGTACCTCACTATTCCATGGAAACCTTTGCGCCAACCTCCTTCATCTTGGCAATGATGTTCTCGGCTTCTTCTTTCGTGACGCCTTTCTTCAACACCGCAGGCACCTTCTCCACCAAATCCTTAGCTTCCTTCAACCCCAAACTCGTGAACGTCCTCACCTCCTTAATCACCTTGATCTTACCCGCCGCATCGAACCCCTCAAGCTTCAAATCAAACGCCGTCTTCTCCGCCACCTTTACCTCCGCTCCCTCTCCGCCACCAACACTCTTCGGCGCGCCCCTGGGCACGCCCCGCACCCCCATCCCCGGCACCATCATCATCATCATGATCGGAAGCTCGTTGACGCCGCGCTTCTCTCGCAGCACCTCCACAAGGTCCATCACTTCCAGCAACGTTAGTCCAATCACCTCGTCCACGATTGCCGCTACCTTCTCCGAACCGTGCGACGGCGACGCACCACAGTAGTCGCGCGCGTGGGAGGGGCGCAGTCGGGGTTGAGCGTTTGGCAAGGTCGAGATCCGTGCGGAAGCAAAGGGAGGGTTTTGATGTGGACTTACGGTTTTCAGGAGATGGGAAAAGTGTTTGAACCGGGAATAGTACCTCATTGTTAATGGTTTTTGAAGAAATTAATCGTAAGTTTGCTTACTCAACATCGCATCGAATTGGTTTTGGGAATGGAGGAAGGTGTTGGAGCGTAGTGGTGTGTCAGTGACTGTGATGACAGGGCCTGTGTCTTCGGCCTAAACCCTACAGGAAGATGCTGATCTGTTTTACGGTTTTGCCCCCTCCGTTCACAGTGAAATGAAATGTGAACGATGAAGCATCCTCGCATTTGGGCCGAGGCGGGCGGGGCCGATTTCATTTGGGTCAAGACTAGCGTATATTTTGAAGGGCGGTTGCTTCTTGCAATCTCATAATTTCTCTCTGCACCCCATAATTATATTAAATCTTATTTTATCATTAAACTTATCTTTATCTTTATTTTTGGAATATATTTTAGATTGACGTTTCTAAAAGCTTATTTAAAAACATTCAATCCAAAATAATATATTTTTAGAAAGATTTTTTCGAAATACTCTATGAAATGTATTTCGAAAAGGTTTTTCGAAACGTAATCCGAAACACAAAATCTAGAATACAATTCTATAAAAGTTTTACCAGAAATGTATTCTTGAACACCCAATTTAAAATGTATTTATATAAAGACTTTTCTATAAATACATTTCAAAACACTGATTCCATTTTCAGAAAAAATATAATCTGAAAATGTATTTCAGATTGATTTTTTCAAAATTCTACTTCATTTTTGTGACACTATTTTAGACTAAGTAACGTGTGTTTGTTTGTTTTTGAAATTTGAGTATAAAAAACATATAATTCATATATAATATTAATGATTATTTATCTTTAATTATTAGAAAATTCTTTCAATATAAATGATAACACAAAAAATTCAAATAGCTAAAAAATGAGAAGTTATACACAAATAAAAAAATTAAAATAAAAAATAAAATTATAAAAAATATATTTTAAATATTTAACTTAAGATTATAAAAGTGCAGTCATAAATTATGGAGTTAGATGAAACAGGCCTTTTTGAAGGACTTTCAATTAATTTTTTATACAGTTCGGATTTTTATTGGTTGCGGAAAAAACACCTTTTTTATAAATGTTTCTTCATGCAACCTTCAAAATTTAACCTAAACTGTGTTTAAAAACATATTAAAATTTCTTAAACCTATATTATATACTTGTGTTATTTTTTTTTATTGGTTCTTCTTTTCGTATTATCAAATTATTACTGGTGTTTTAAATGTTTAGGAAGAGGTATTTTTTACCTTTATAAATATGTATTATTTTTTTAAACACATATTTAGTAACTAAAAATATCATCTTTCTCCAATTTATATTTTATTGCATATTTAAAACAATTATGAAACATGTAATACAAATCAAATACTTCATTATAAAACATCCCAGATGTTTTTTGGTACACCTATTCCATAACTAAAATTTATAATTTCATAATATTTATTATTCCATAAACAAAATATTCTATCTCCAAAATTCTTGTTTCTTTGCCAAAACTACTTTCAGAATCTGTATACAATAATCAAAATATTACCAATGAAACTTGTTCCATATAGTACATTAAAAATAATTAAGATAGAAGTATTTTGAGACACATTGTCAATACATATTATTTTTTCAAACACCTATTTCATAATAAAAGTATCATACTTAAAAAAAAAATTCGGACGAAAGAAAAAAAAAATAAAAAAAATATTGTAGAACACTTTATACATAAATGCCTTTCTTCTAAAATACCAATTTTATATCTAAAATATCATATATTTCCAAATGATATTTGGAACAAATGATACAAGATATTTTGAGAAGTGGGTGTAAGTTTGAGATAGTTCAAGAAGAAATTATTTGCGTTATTAAAAACTAGCTATTGTGCTAACATAATAATAGAAAGTTTCAGTTGAAACTTGAAAGTTTATTAGTTTAACTTAATGTTAACAAAATTAGTCATTAAAGTAATTGGAAACACAAAACAAAGATATATTTTGGAAAACATGGTTTTATAATATTTTAAAATTTAAACTATAACTAAACGTTTTAAAAATATAACAAGTTATTAAAAATTAGAATAGAAAGAAAATATATCAACATAATTTGAGAGGGTCAAGTAAAAAAGATTAAGAAATGGAAGAAAAATAAGAGGATAGGGTTGTAGATTATAAATAGTTATAATTAATATAAAAGTTATGAATTAGTAATATAAGTTTGTTTTTCTGAATAATTTAATTTGATGAAATAAATTTATAAACTAATTACATAATTTAAAAATTTGGTTATTTTGTCTTTGTTAGCGGATTTGAGGGAGTGAAAAATGATAGATTTAAAGGAAAAGAGATATGAAAGTCAGGTTGTTGGATTAAGAAGAAGATAATAAAAAGTGTGGAAAATAAGAGAAAAATTTATAAAAGTTTATGAATAATTGATTGATATAAATGATAAGACACATTGATTATGTGTATGGAAGAATGGATTCTCAGATAAAAAAATGATTATTAATGATAATTTATTTTCATCTAATGAAGAATTAATTTTTAATTCACTTATTACTAAGAATTGATGATCCGTTCTCACTTTATTATGTTAATTTATGTATATTTTTTATAACTACAGTTCGTTATTAACTCGTGCATATTTTCTGTTCCTCTACGCTTAACTCTATAAGACACACCTCAATCACATTAAACAATAAGTATCAACCAAGAATATATTACATGTATGCATCTCTCCCATCCAAATAGTAAAAAAAAAAAAAAAAATTGTATCAAATTATAAAAGGTGATGTTTATTTTATTGTAAAACTTAGAACGTGTCCCGCTAACTTAAAAGGATTTTTTTCCTGCTTAGCATTATTTTAACATAAATTTTCATATATAACATATTATATTTAATATATTTGCACGAGTAGCATCTTTAATAAAAATTCAGCATTTTGGATAAAAAGTAAGGCGATGCTAGAAATCCGATGTATTAAACCCATATTTTATATATATATATATATATAAATTTAAATTTTTATTTATATAATTATATCAAATTAATATAAATATTTTTTTACATATCATAAAAATATATTTATATAATTATATTATTAATATATTTTTATAAATATAGTAGATACAAATGTATTTAATATATATATGTATAATATTTAAATATTTATTTATCTTTTTATAAATATAATAAATACATGTATATTTATGTATTTAATAAATATATATTTATATCTTTCTATATACATAATAACATAAATAAATTATATATATATATATATATATTAAGTATAAATAATATTTCTTTTATAAAAATATATAAATATTTTTATTATATTTTAATATGTTTGTATATATTTATAAATCGTAAATCTTAAACTCTAAACTATATATATAGATAGAGACGTGTATTTTGTTGTAAAATAAAGATACTGCAAAACTTATAACGTGCCCCACTAATCTAAAAGGATTTTTTTTCCACTTAGCATTATTTTAACATAAATATTCATATATAACATTCTGTATGTAATATTTGCAGAGTAGCACACTTTTATAAAATAGCAATCCGATATATTAAACCCATTAAATATATATATATATATATATATATATATATAAATTTGATAATTTTTATTTTTTTAATTATATCAAATCAATATAAATATTTTTTACATATCATAAAAATATATTTATATAATTATATTATTAATATATTTGTATAAATATAATAGATACAAATATATATATATATATATATAATATTTAGATATTTATTTATCTTTTTATAAATATAATAAATACATGTATATTTGTATATTTAATAAATATATATTTATATCTTTCTATATACATAATAACATAAATAAATTATATATATATATATATATATATATTAAGTATAAATAAAAAAGATGTTTAGTAAATAAATATAATATTTATACAAAAAATAATTTTATTTTATTTCAATAAAATATAAAATAGATTAAGTATAAATATTTTGTTAAAATTCTGTATAAATAGAAATTTTAATTAGATAATTTGAGTAAGATATACGATTTGAATTAAAGTGAATTGATATTTTAGATATTAAATTAATGAAACATGAATAAACGAATTAGAAAACCATAAATGAGTAAAATAATTATTTATTTAATGATTATAAGAGTTTAGGTAGACATGTGAGTAACATAAGAGTTAGATGATCATGCAAATGGTAAGTAAGTTTGGATAGGTATGTGAGTGACATGAGAATTAGATAGTCATGTGAGTGGTAGGAGAATTTAGGTAAACATGTGAGTGACATAAGAATTAGCTAGTTATGCGAATGGTAAGTAAGTTTAGACATTCAAATATATGTATTTATTAAATATCTTATTATACACATATAAATATATATATATATATATATATATATATATATATTATATAAATTCATATTTATTAAATTTATTTAAATATTAAATCTATAATATTATAACTTATTTGTATTTTTATAATTTTTTACATCAAAGTTATTATTAAATAAATTATTATTCATACAATATCTTATATAAATTTATTTTTTATTTATTATTCCTATAAATTATCATTTTTATCAATTTTTTTCTTCAACTAATTTATATTAAATAAAATTTAAATATTATATATACATATTAAATATATTTATATTTACTATATTTATAAAAATATATTTAATTATATTAAATAAAATTTAAATATTATATATATATATATATATATATATATATATTTGTTAACTATATTTATATTTACTATATTTATAAAAATATAGTAAACATATATTTATAATCTAATTATAATATATATATATATTATATTTATAAAAATATATACAAATACATTAAACATATAATTATACAATATATTTTTATTATATATAAAAGTATATATTTATATTTATTATATATTATATTTAATAAAGTTATAATGTATATAACAAAATATAAATATGTGTTTATCATATTTATAAAAATATATTAAAATATAATAAAAATATTTATATATAATTTTATATTAAAATTGTTTTATATTATATTAATAAAAATGTATTTATCATATTTTTATAAAAAAATATTATTTTTACTTACTAAAGTTATTTTATATTAAAAATATATTTAAATAATATATATAATTTATTTATATAAAAAGGTTATCTAGAAAGATATAATATATTTATTATATTTATAAAAAGATAAATAAATATTTAAATATTATATATATATTAAATATATTTGTATTTACTATATTTATAAAAATATATTAATAATATAATTATATAAATAAAATATTAATATATATATATATATATTTAATGGGTTTAATATATCATATTTCTAGCGTTTGTTAACTTTTTATCCTAAATAATGACTTTTTATAAAAATATGTTATTCGTACAAATATTATATATAATATATTATATTTAAAAATTTATGTTAAAATAATGCTAAACAGGAAAAAAATCACTTAAAAATATTAAACTCCCTTATATTTTTAGATCACAATTATTTATGATATTGAATACGAAAATGAATTTATTATTTATACTACATTTATAAATAGATTACTTCTCACTAATCAAAATACAAAATACAAAATTTTAGTATTTTTATCTTTTCTTTTTTTCCTTTTTTTTATTTATTTATTCTTTTAAAAGTTTATTATCAGGAGATACTCAAAAAATTTTAAAAAATTTTGTAATATCATGAAGGACTTACGAAGAGTGATTATCTATACTCATTAATCAAGTTTTGTTGCTGTTCTTTCAGAACAATCTTAAGGAGGCAGAACCCGAATATGGGGGGAGTGTGGTGCAGCAATGTCATCTCATGACTCAGATAAAATGAAATTCAAAGTGAGTGAGTTCGAAGCGTCGGCGGCATCGCAGCTCGTCACGGAGTTACGTGGAGCCTTCGCTTCGGCCAAAACGAGCAATTACCAGTGGCGAGTGTCGCAGCTCAAAGCGCTAGCGAAACTCGTCGCTGATCACGAGCCGCTAGAATGTCCCTTACGAGGTGCTGTTGTTTATTCCATTCTCATTGTTACTCTCTGCGTTTTGCTTTGTCTATGTTTCTAGTGTGTGTCGTATGACCTCGGTAGTGGAAGAGAAATATTTTGAAAGCCGTTTTTCGTTGGTGGATTTCTTGATAGAGATTTTGGGCGGTTCATTTTTTTTTACGGTGACTGAGTGATGCAGTGTGTCACGACCTCAAAATATTTTTTTTTCCTTAGCAATGCCTTTTGTATGCAGTGTTGACGTGTTGCTATGTGCTTTATCGGGATATTGCTATTTGTTTATTTAATTTTAATTTTCTTATTGGTTGTTGATTTGTCTGTAATGATTGGGGTTCACGTTTCTTTATCTCTGGTGGTTTGGTCAAGGTGGGTTTGGTTTGAGCACTAATGGCTTGCGTGGCACTTTTAATGTGCGTCAATTGGTGGGCCTCACTGTTTGTCTTTAAAATTAGGATAGGTGACTTTGAATCTAAAGGAAATGGATATTCTCAATCATGAATCTGCTAATTTGTTCAGATTGAATGTTTGGAAAACCTGGAATGAATTCCCGGCCTATTGATTTGGGTAAAAGTACTTTACGAAAGTTTGGAAATTTAGCTCAATTGAAATCTGTCTTGTAAAACAATTCAAGATATAAAATAGTTTCTCTAAATAATATATATATATATATATATATATATATATATATATATATATATATATATATATATATTTTGTTGTTCCTTTCATGGATATTGGTAAAACCTAATGTTAAATATCGAAGAGTGTGAAAGTCATTAGTTAAGGTAATGCTACCTCATTTAAAAAAAAAACTTGAATATGTTCTTAGGCTATGTAGCATATAGTGTTGGTTGTAAATCTCTTGTTCTCAAAAGTGACGAAATTGAGCATGATACTATATTTGAGACAAAAAATGTTAAATCCTTTTAACATATTTTTTCTTTAAAGGTTATTGAGATACCTAAACAACTTATAGACATTAATAATGATAACGTATATGAGGATTTGAGAAGTAAACGATAAAGGAAGGAAAACTCCTTTAGAAATTATTTTAACACTTTATTTAGTTGAAAATGACCCAACAAGTTTTCTAGAGGCTATCAGGGCTCCTGATGTAATACATTGAGACAAAACCATTAAAACTGAAGTTGACTCAATTAAGAAAAATAATACTTGACTTTGTAAATTTGTCTAAAGGAGAAAAATCCATTAATTGTAAGTGGATTTTTAAGAAAAAGTATTATTATCCTGATATAGATCCATAGATAAATATAAGACAAGATTAGTAGCAAAGAGTTTTACTCAAAAACCTAATATTGATAATTTTGATACCTTTACCCCTGTGACTAGACTTTCCTTTATTCGAGTTTTGTTAGTTCTAGCAACTATCCATAAGTTGATTATACACTGAATGAAGGTTAAGACATTCTTTTGAATGGTGAATTAGAGGAAAAAATCTATATGACTCAATCTCAAGGGTGTTGTTCCTCGTCAAGAGAACAAAGTGTACAAATTTTTAAAGTTTTTATATGGACTAAAACAAACACCAAAACAGTAGCATGAAATAGTATTCTACTTTGTGATAGTTTTTCAACTAATGATGCTGATAAATATGTGTATTTTAAATTTGAAAGTGGTAAATGTGTCATTATATGTTTATATGCAAATAATATGATAATATTTGATACATGCATTGACATAGTCTCTAGAACCAAGTTGTTTATGGGATCTAAATTTGAAATGAAAGACATGGGATAAAATCAATGTGATTTTGGGAGTTAAAATCATAAGGATGGGAGATACTATATTACTACCTGTTGGAATAGATTAGAAAATATATGTAATCATTATACCTAAGGTAGGAGGTTGAGTGTTAGATAATATCTGCAGGGGGTTGAGTGTTAGATAATCTCTGCACCTAGTTTTGAGGAGTAATCTAGGACTGTGCATTTAATGTAATCTGCCTATTGTATCAGTTTTTATCTATATAAATACAGAACTATGAAAGGGGTTCTTCAAGCCCTCTAAAAACACTTTTTATCTATATATCCCGCTCTGCCTGTTTCTGTAGTATCTGACACTGTTTTTGCTGCTGTCCGCTGCTGGCCACCGTCCGCCGCCGGCCACTGTCTCCGATCGTCCAGTTTTTGCCGGCGACCATCGGATCTGAATCGTCTCGCCGTGTGACAGCCAACCCCGTCGGTCCCGGAAGCTCGTTCTCCGCCACGTGCCGCCTCTTCATTTCGGTGAAGTCCAGTAGTCACCCTTGCGAAAATCACTCTTGGGCTTTTTCTACGATTCCGCAAATAAGCTGGCATCTCTAAAAATGACAGATCATGATATGGTGTTCTTTATGAATGACGCCCAGTCGACTGTGGAAGAACTCAAGATGTTCTTGGGAGTTGATTCCTTGGATGAAATGAAAAAGAAGCTTGACAAGTATTACATGGTGATGATCCTTCGCGCAATACATCCTGACTTTAACCATATCAGAGATCAACTTCTGACCACTTATGAAGTCCCTTCCATGGATACCCTTATTACACGTCTGATTCGTGTACCAATGTCTGAGACTCAGGAAGCTCTAGCTCTCGTAGAACCATCTGCCATGGTTGCCACACGAGGAAGCGGAGGACGTGGCACCAGAGGAGGAGGACGTGGAGGTCGAGGACGTCCCCAATGCACCTACTGTAAGAGGATGGGTCATACACAGGAGAACTACTACTCCTTGCATGGTTTTCCTCCCAAAACCGCCAATGTCTCGAAGGCTGAAACCGTCAACTCCAAGTTCACTGAGGACGAATACCAAGAGTATCTACGGTTAAAGTCTAATAGCTTGGCACATACCTCTCAAACTGCCATCACATCAACTGCTTGTATTTCTCAATCTGTGGAGGGTTAAAATTCATGGGTAATTGACTTTGGTGCTTCTGATCATATATCTGGTAATACCTCCTTGTTCTCAACCATTTCCTTTCAAGAAAAACAACATTTCATAACCCTTGCAGATGGCTTTAAAGCTTCCTCAAAGGGAGTGGGCCAAGTTTCTTTATCTCCCTCCATAAGCCTAAAATCTGTCCTTTTTATTCCTAATTGTCCTTTCAATTTAATTTCCTCAAGTCAGTTAACCAAAACCTTAAATTGTTCAATAACCTTCGATAACAAATCTTTTGTTATACAGGAGCATGGTTCGGGGAGACAAATTGGAGAAGGATATGAAGCTGGAGGATTATACCTTTTTGGCCCTCGTCCACGTGTGTCCTGTGTTGCTACTCCGAGCCCTAAAATGTTACATGATCGGCTTGGCCATCCTCATTTGTCAAAATTAAAAAGAATGTGTCCTGAACTTAGTGGTCTCCAGACCTTAGAATGTGAGTCATGTCAGCTAGGGAAACATGTTAGATCTACCTTTTCTAAACGGTCTCAATCACAGTGTACTTCCAGTTTCTCTATTATCCATTCTGATATTTGGGGACCCAGTCGCATCTCATCTTTTGGTTTTCGGTATTTTGTTACATTCATTGATGAATATTCACGATGTACTTGGGTTTATCTTATGAAAGATCGCTCTGAATTGTTACCCATCTTTACATCCTTTTTGAATGAAATAAAAAATCAATTCAGTCAAGTAATCAAAATTTTAAGAAGTGACAATGCTAAAGAGTACTTCTCATCCACCTTTTCTGCTGTTTTGAGTTCACATTGAATATTGCATCAGTCCACCTGTCTTCATACACCACAACAAAATGGTATAGCGAAAAGAAAAAATAGACATTTGGTTGAAACCGCACGTACTCTTTTGCTCGGGTGCTCATATTCCTGTCCATCACCGGGGATGCCATCTTAACCGCATGTTTTCTTATTAACAGGATGCCATCTTCCTCTCTCGGTAATAAGATCCCTTTCTCCATTCTATTTCCAAATAATCCTCTCTTTCACACCTCTCCTCGAGTTTTTGGTTGTGTATGTTTTGTTCATGATATGTCTCCCGGGTTAGGCAAGCTTTCTGCTCGTGCTATCAAATGTGTCTTCTTGGGCTATTCCCGCCTTCAAAAAGGGTATCAGTGTTACTCTCCTGAAACCAAGAAGTACTACATGTCTGCCAATGTTACATTTTTTGAACAGACTCCTTACTTTTCTCCTTTTGTTCAAGATGTTCATGTCATACAGCAGGTTCTTCCCATTCCAGTAGTTGAGTCTAATATTTCCAATGTCTCTATCGATCTCCGTAGTGATCCAAGTCTTCCTGAACCATCCTCCCCTCAAATTGATGTTGTCAATCATAGGACCCCGATGGCTAGTCCTGTTCTCCAAGACGAGGGTGAATCCCCCACTTTAGATTCTTCTCCCACATCGCTTCTTACCATGACTCCTGGTGGAGGTGATTCAGGATGACCCATTGCTCTAAGAAAAGGTACTCGTTCCACTCGAAACCCACATCCTATTTATAATTTTCTTAGTTATCACCGGTTGTCGCCTTCCTATTGTTCCCTTTTATCCTCAGTATCTTCTATTGCTATTCCGAGAAATGTGGAAGAAGCACTTGATCACCCTGGATGGCAACAAGCCATGATTGCCGAAATGCAGGCTCTTGACCATAATGTTACTTGGGAGCTCGTTCCCCTTCCACCGGGAAAAAAGGCAGTTGGTTGCCACTGGGTATATGCTGTTAAAATCGGCCCTGATGGTGCAGTTGATCGGCTCAAGGCTCGGTTAGTTGCAAAAGGGTACACTCAGGTTTATGACCTTGATTATTGTGACACTTTCTCTCCCGTGGCCAAGATGACCACTATTCGTCTGTTCTTCGCAATGGCTGCCATTCGTCACTGGCCACTTCTTCAATTAGATATCAAAAATGCCTTCCTACATGGTGATCTTGAGGACGGAATTTACATGGAGCAACCTCCTGAATTTGTTGCTCAGGGGGAGTCTGAACTAGTATGCAAATTGCATCGTTCTCTATATGGCCTCAAGCAATCACCACGTGCTTGGTTTGGAAAATTTAGCTCCATTGTTCAAAAATTTGGGCTAAGACGCAGTGGAGCAGATCATTCAGTTTTTTATTGTCATACATCTCTAGGTAAATGTGTTTACTTAATAGTATATGTTGATGATATAGTCATTACAGGAAATGATACTGTTGGAATATCTCAACTGAAGGAGTACTTGTGCAGACATTTTCAAACCAAGGATTTGGGAAGCCTAAAATACTTCTTGGGCATTGAAGTAGCTCAATCAAAAGATGGAGTTGTAATCTCTCAGAGAAAATATGCTCTTGATATATTACAAGAAACAAGTATGATTGACTGTAAATCTATAGAGAGTCCTATGGACCCAAATAAGAAATTAACAACAGAAGAAGGTGAAGTATTCTCTGATCCAAAGAGATATAGGAGGTTGGTCGAAAAACTGATTTATCTCACTATTACAAGGTCTGATCTATCTTTTGCTGTTGGAGTGGTTAGTCAGTTCATGCAGACTCCATGTGCTGGTCATTGGAATGCTATCATTCGCATTCTAAGGTATCTTAAAAAGGCTCCCGGACAATGATTGTTATATGAAGATAAAGGAAGCATTCAGGTCACTGGGTACTGTGATGCAGATTGGGCAAGTTCACCTGTTGATAGACGGTCTACCACTGGATATTGTGTCTTCCTTGGAGGAAACATTATTTCATGGAAAAGTAAGAAACAGAATGTAGTGGCTCGATCGACAGCTGAAGCCGAATATAGGACAATGGCGTCACTAACTTGTGAACTTATATGGGTAAAGCAGTTCATTCAAGAGCTTAACTTCTGTGATATCCAGACTATGAAGATGTATTGTGATAATCAAGCTGCTCTCCACATTGCATCAAATCCCGTATTTCACGAGAGAACTAAACATATAGAAATTGATTGTCACTTTGTTCGTGAAAAGTTGTTGACAAAAGAAATATGTACCGAGTTTGTTGGATCAAATGACCAACTCGCAGATGTGTTTACCAAGTCCTTAAGGGGACCTCGGATTGAGTTCATTTGTTCCAAGCTTGGTACATACAACTTGTATGCTCCAGCTTGAGGGGAAATATTGGAATAGATTAGAAAATATATGTAATCATTATACCTAAGGTAGGAGGTTGAGTGTTAGATAATCTCTGTAGGGGGTTGAGTGTTAGATAATCTCTGCACCTAGTTCTGAGGAGTAATCTAGGACTGTGCATTTAATGTAATCTCCCTATTGTATCAGTTTTTATCTATATAAATACAGAACTATGAGAGGGGTTCTTCAAGCCCTCTAAAAACACTTTTTCTCAGTTTTTGAATATCAAGTCTACCCAAGAATAATACATTGAGAAATTTCTTAGGAAGTTTGGGTATTATGACTTCAAATCAATGAGTACCCCTTTATGACGCTAACTTTAAGTTAAAAATAGAGGAGACTCAATCTCTCAACCTCAATATGCTCAGGTAATTAGAAACTTACTGCATTTAATGAGGTTTTCTAGACCTGACATTGTTTATGCAATTAGTATACTGACTAGGTACACTCAATGTCCTAATTAAGAATATTGAAATGCACTTGTAAGACTTATGAGATACTTAAGATATTCAATAGATTATGCCATTGAATATAGTGAATTTTCCGCTGTAATAGAAGGGTACAATGATGCTATCTGGATCTCTGATTCAGATGAGACAAAATCCACTAGTGGCTATATATTCACACTTGAGGGTGGTACGATTACATTGAAATCAATCAGGCAAACAATTATTGGAAGATCAACAATGGAATCTGAGTTTGTTGCTCTTGAAATAACTGACAATGAAGCTAAGTGGTTGAAAAACTTTTTAGCAAACATTCATTAGGAATGAAACCGACTCCGTCTGTGTCAATACACTGTGATTGCCAATCGGCAATAGCTATAACTAAAAACAAGAACTACAATGGAAAGAACAAATATATACAATTGAGACATAATTTAGTAAAGTAGCTACTAAAGAGTGGAACAATTTTCATTGACTGTGTGAAGTCAAAACAGAATCTAGCAGATCCTCTAATGAAACTCTTAAGGAGAAACATGATTTTAGAAATATCGAGGAGAATAAGACTCAAACCACTTGCAAACAAACAAATGATGATAACCTAACTTTTGTGATTGAAAATCTCATGATTAAGGTTCATATGGGTAAAAACAAGTCACTTGTTAGTTCTGCTAGTATTAAAATTGATTAAAATTAATTATGTCAATTCCTATGGTGTGTGAAAGTACTAGATAGTGCATCATTGAGAGGTTAAACTTTGTAATTAAAATTCTATGTGGTGTACAAATTTTAGTCTAGAAAAAACTTTTAATGATTTCATATCCCTTACGGATGGTGTATGATTTGCAGCATACGTTTGATGAAGTCACCTATATGAATGTCGAAAGTGATGACACTTGTATGAGATCTTTGCAAGATTGACAATATGTGGATTAGACTAACATGTATTTTAACCATACCAAATGACATGAGGTAGGCGATGTGAGACTTTCAACACACCCCCTCCAACGAAGCTTGCCGGACCAGGCAAAAGGTACTTTTGACCCAACTAAATGGCAACTTTTTGGCCCATGACAATAACCGGAAAGATGTTAGGCTTTGGCTCTGATACCATGTTAAGGTTCCAACATAAAACCAATTGGCAATATGTTGATTAACCTAACATGTATTTAAACCATACCAAATGACATGAGGTAGGCGATGTGAGACTTTCAACAACAGCGATAATAACAAGAATTGTGGGGGTGTATTGTGATTGTTAAAACCGCTAACACACTAAGTGTTTTGGTTCATATAGTTTGCTACACCAACTACACTGTGTGTTAAGTTTTTCAGTCTAAAACTGGTTCATATAGCTTGCTATACCAACTATGATGCATTACATCTTATATGAGATCCACAATTTTCTTCTTTTATTCTTTATCTTTTTTGTTTTGCAATATGTGGGAAACTGTTGTAAAATAAGGGGTATTGCAAAACTTAGAACTTTACAGAGAACTTTACTGAGAATGTTACTGAGAACTTTAATGAGAATGTAATTAGTTAGAGTTTTGGGTCCAATCTACACCTATAAATAGATATCCTTTCATACTCTTCAAGACACACCTCTCTCGTATTTTCTTCTCTGTTTTCTTCCTGTTCTACTATTATCCTGAGTTTATTTACTCCTTTAAGAGTTTCTTGCTAGTTTCTGACATCCTCGAAATTTTTGATAAGTTTCTGTTGTATCCCGAAAGACTTGCACAATACATCACGGATAAGTCCTTAAGACAGTGTTTATATACGCCTTAAGAATAAAATTTATTTGTGTTTAGGTCAACTTTGACAACAATATCTTACACAATATTTCGAGGATAAGATCAAAAATTAAATTTTGTTAATTGTCCTAGTCAGCTTTTAGAATATATTTCTCGTCTCATCTCTTCGTTTGCAGAAAAAGCTTTATCTAATCCCTCCTTCAAATCCACACTTTCAAAATCCTCCTCTTATATCATTTCAAACAAAGAGAGTCTCCACTCACTCTTCCATCCACTTAACCAATATCACTACAATCAAACACACCGTTAATATACTAAACATGGGTGAAAATAGATCAGTCAACCGATAAAATAAATTAGGTAAAAAGTTATTGATTTTTCTTCTTTAACAGGCAGTACCAACAAATAATACCTTCATTATAAATAAATTGGAATACACAAATTTCACGACAGCCTAATATCCCCAGTGGCAAAGGCTTCATCATGATGAATTTAACTTTTATTATTTTGAGCAAAAACAAAACAAACATGAATAATATATGTGGCAATGATATTGTTTCTTCAAGCGTTGATCTTCCGGCAGTTTTCTCTGATCTCTCCCCTTGAATTTGTCAAAGGAGATATGTTTCCCATCTTGATCATGGACTTGGCGAATTGTTCAAAGAAAAGGTCATTTCTTTCAGCATACAACTTCACGAGTTCTGCTGATTCTTGGTTTGAGAGGAGGACTTGATCAGAACTTAGGAGACCCTTGTAAGCCAAAAGGTTCTTGAAGTAGGTGCTGTCAAATTTATATGGGGTGGCGAAATCTAGGAAGAACAGGTTCTGGTCACCCCCAGATCTTGGACATCTATTGCGCAATGCAGCAGCATAGTATTGGTCAAGAGTGGAATCAGGCTCGCCATTGCCACTAACTTGGTTATAGAGTCTTTGCTTGAAGGTGGTGCATCTGGCATTTCCTATAGTGTGGCCCCCTATATCAATGGCATTAAGATTGTTTAGGAAAAGAAGTATTAGATAGCTTTGACTCAGGTTTGTGCATGGTGACATGGAGATAACAAAACATTAGCAATAAAGTCTTATCTCACTAAATTATGCCCGTCAAATTTACCCATGTATAAATTTGAATACAAAAAACCAGAAACATACACAAGTTTAAGGAGTATACCAGATAGAGCAACTAGATCAATAAGGTCAAGCCCTTGAAGATTGAATTTTGTTAGGATGGTCTGGAATGTGTTGTTTGGGGCTGGAATGTTGTTGTTGGAGCCACTTATGCTTGCATCTCTAGAGTCCCTTCTCCCTAAAGGTACTTCCCAGCTTGGTCCACCACTCTGTACATATATATGAAAGGGATAGTGAATTAGGCTTGATAAAACTGGGGAAGACTTGACCAGAAAATGTTTTTATTTTTATTTTCTGATTTCACTTTTGCTAACAAAAAATATCTTTTTGTTTTATTTTATTTTATTTATATTTAAAAAATGTTTAAAACAGGAAAACAATAGAAGTTAATTATAATATTTCTTGTTTAAACTTTTAAATAAAGAAGAAGTATTTTTGTAACTAAAAATAAAATCATTTTCTGAAATCAAATCAAGATGAGAGAGAGGGTACTGAAGTACTGACAAGAACAACTGAATCTCTTGCAGCTAGAGTCAAGATGTCAGCACAAGAGACTGTAGAAGGGCATTCTCTCTCTAGTGCGGCTTTGATTGCATCAATGACTTCGAATCCTCTAGCCGAATTACGGTTGGGATTTGATCCCTTCTCACTGATGATGTTTTCACTGCTATCTAACAACAACGAAGCATCACAACCCTGCATCATCAACTTGGCATTAAGCATTTGAAAAACATCAGGATATATAACACAAAATAACTATATATATGTTTACCAATAAGACTTGTAAAGCACTAACATCACATAATATTTTAACTATGTTTACCCATTAAGACTGTTAGTACTAGAACATCACATAATTGCGATAATAAATGCTAATAATTTCTTCCAATAAGTTTTTAGGCTTGTGGCAAGTCAAATAAAAGGGAGAGACCTTGACAAAACAATCATGGAAATGAAGCCTGAGAATCGAAGCTGCAAAACGGGGTTGCTCTTCAACATACTTGGCAAGGGTGGACTTGACAATATGCTGAGCTTGTGGGCATGAATAGTCATAAAACTGAGGGTAGAGGTAACCCCCTTGGTAGAAGTTACATAGGCAAAAGGGAGCAAAGGCTAGCAAAGAAAGAAGCAAGAAAAGGCTCATGGAAGTGGCCATTGTTGTTTATTTCAATATCACTTCAAGTTACAAGTAAAATAGAAAGTGGTTGAAGAGAAGTAAGTTGTCAAACTTGGTTCTTGCATGGTGCTGTGATGGGGAATGGTATTTATAGAAAAGAAAGATGGTAGAAACCTATTGCATTACAAAAAATGATGGGAGGAAGGAACGAAAAGAGTTGGAGTTGGTAGCTAACCAATTTTCATATCCTCATACATGAGGGAGGAAAGATTAATGGAGTTAGTAGCTTTTCAATAAAATAAATTTAACTAGTCTGAACGATTCAAATATTGTCAAAATTTATAATATCATAACTTCAATACGAGGGTATGCAATTATGCATTTATGTCAAGTGGCAGGTTATTGGGGTGGAGTTAGAAATACCCTATGATGAAAATTATAGTTTGGGGGCATCGTAATGTACTGCTACATTACACTTGTGAGTTTGTAGTTGGCATGCTTAATAATCACTCGAACCTATAGTTGTGTAAGCAAATAGTTTGAAGCTTAAGATCTAAGGTAACAGAATTATAGCATTAAGCAAACATGCTTGACCTAGAAATGGCCGAAGTATTGGACCCTGTTCCTTCGGCAATTTTATCGTATTTTTGCAGTTAAAGTCATGTTTGAGTATACCTACCTGTTGATATCTTATTTCAAAACCTGTGACAATTCTTTGTTATTTCACATACCTAATCTTTTGCTTTACATTAGACAACTAAGATCAAACCTAATTTTATGTTTTAGATTAACTTTTATTTATTGGAAAGTACTTAATATAAGCTGGTAAGTTGTATAACACAAACAACCCTTAAGTTCAATGGCTAAGGCTAATTACTAACAACTAAAAAAGAGTTTTGATGATTTACTAGGACCTAGCTACCTCAGTTCTGTGGTGCTTCCAGATAAATGCGACAATATCAAATGGTAGCTTGGTCAATCTGCAGGTTATGATCATTTGTCTTATTAGGGGGATGCTATAAAAATTAAAGTTGATTCACCTACTTCAGTTGACTTTGTTAAATAGTTTATTTCAAGTTTTTCTACATTACAAGAAAAAGTTTATTAATTTAAAATCACTCCTTAACCCCCACTTATATTTTGCAGCTGCTCCGATCATATATTAGATGGGAATGGTTTTTGACATCAAAACCTTCAACAATAGTTGAATTATTTTGTATCTGTTTTGATGTGTTAGGGTATACAAATAAGTAAACAAAAGCAATAAGGTAAAAAGATAATTTGTGTGATAAAATGTGGTGAATGGAACAGGTATGGTTGGATACCAACTATTTTTCCAGAATACTAATCTAATCTTCAACTGGGATTGTCTTCTTTTGGTTCAGCATTATATGCATAATCTTACTTACTAGGAATTTAAATGTTGCCTAATGTATAATATATGGCTTCACCGTTGAAAATAATAATAGGCTTTGGATTATAAATTGTGTTGCCTCTGCTCCTTGTTTTTAATCATATCATATAATATAATAACTTGAGCCACACTGGTCAAACAAATTCATCTAAAGTTATGGCTTGAGTTATTAGCAAGCTAATAATTCAACTTTTGACTCGTTCATTTTTTATGATTACGAAATTATCAACTCGGCTTAAACTGAGTGAGTTGAAAGGATTGATCACCAAATAAAATGTTGAAAACACAACTTAGCTGCATAATTCAAAACTAGAACGATGAAGAATAACCATAAGTGTATGATTTGATAAATTTTAAAAAAGAATAAGAGAGAAATTACAGTTTTTATTATATTTTGTTGCATAATAGATTTTGAATAGTAATAATTTAGAAGGTTTAAAATCTACAAAGGATAAAAAAAATTAGTTAAAGTTTTAAAATTATAAGTGAAAAAAAGAAACAAAATATTTTATTTTTTATTTATTAAAAATAATTATATCTCATAAGCTTTTTTTTTTTAATTTCTGTTTAAAATCTTTTCTTTCTCACTAAATATAAAAGTTTGTCTTTTATTATTATTATTATTATTATTTTTTTCTCAATCACACGAGCTAGATGATAAGTGTAGATAAATTATATCCAAATAAATTTCTCATCTTTTATTTCCCTTCCATGTACGTGTGTGCTTAAAATTTAAGAAAAAAAGACAAAGCATGTGAGTTTAAGTCCGTTTTGGTAATTTTGATTTTTAGATCTAGGATGGGAGGATCTTGAGTATCTTACTTATTTGATTTTTATTTTTTTTTTTTGAAAAATGAAATTTACAGGTTAAAAAGTTATGAAATCTTAAGAGACCTCAGGATAGTAGATTTACTTTGGTTAATTGAAATTGTTTGAAAAAAAAAAAAGTTTTGGAAGTATGATTCCAATGGTAAATTTGATTTAGTAAGAATGGTTACGTATGAGTGTTATTTATATTATTGGAATTTTTGCATGGTCATTCAATTAGTATTTTCCTTTTACCAATAACATTTTAATTACTTTAATGAGAAATTTTCATTATTTATTTATGTATTATCTTGATTAAAAAGGAATTTGATGCAATGATTTAATTTAGTGAATAATAATGACTTGAAATTTGTAAAAATGTGTCGGTTGTAATATTTAGTATAAAATTTAATGAATTTAACTAACTATATATTCTCATATTCTAACTTTAATTATCAATCATATAAATAAATATATTAACGATCTCTTTATCTAGTTGGAATAAAATAAGTTAAAAGATTAATTGTATATATATATATATATATATATATATATATATATATATATATATATATATATATATATATAAGAATTACTTTATTATATTTTGGATTACCACATAATATAATTATTACATGCCAATATTATCTACTAGTTACACCAAATAAATATAATTAAAATAAAGGAACCAAACACATTTAAATGTTTTAAAATATGGAATCAAACAAAACGATAGAACCCTATCAAAATTTCTATGAAATTCATTAAATGGAATTCAGCAACTAGATTCATACTATAACGACCTTTTCTTTACTTCTATCTGGGAATTTATGTTTACAAGGAAAATATATTTGAGGGGTCCTTCAAAACCCTCCTAATATGAGTTTGATCCAAACTAAATATTTGGCAGAAGAAATTCCTAAAAACTAGATAACATTGTGCAGATTGTCAGTAAATATAACAAAATGAATAACGGAACACTTTCAAATGGCACCATATTTTCTTTCTGTTGGTTTCCATGCAGCTTGTGAAGGAACATGAGGACGCTCCCACGAGGCCTCACTGCCAAAGGCAGTATTGACTTCTTCTGGGCGTGAGTAACCATGTCCAGCTCCACTAACCTATTTTAATGACACACTCAACAAATGTTAGATAAGCAAATGAAGTAGGCAATCCTACCAAACATACTAGCAAACTGCAATTCATTTTTTTATTAGTTTGAAAATAAGAAAGGAAAGTACGAAATTTAGGAACAATATCAAACCCATGATGCGTCTATCAATAGCAATGCGGGCACACAAGCTTACACATTCTCTATTATCTGGTGAATTTTATGGAGGTCATACTAAAAAACAGAGAATCTAAATTTTAAAGAGACAATAAATTTTACCCACTAAGAAACTGTGTTGAAAATAATATGCTGCTTTTATAATAATAATAATAATATTATTATTATTATTATTATTATTATTATTATTATTATTATATTTATATTTATATTTAATGCCGTTGGTGATGTATGCTATACTGCACTTCTCCCATTAATGAAGATAAACAAGGGAGTATTTTTCTTGCTAACAACCATTTTATGGGCACTAGATAACACTAACACTTTTAACTTTCAATTGCTTAACCAGTGTCCTAAGAATACTTAATTAGCATGCTATTTATTCTTATCGTATTTTGTCCATAAAGCTGAATAAATGTTCTTATTCTATTGACAAGTCTTCTCAACCAGACCAATGCATAGAAACATAAAATTACATCTAAAATCAATATTCACTATATATTCTTATTTTTCTGCATAATGTTTTTTCTCATCCAATTTTTTCCCCACCTCTTTGCCATTTGGATAAATATAAATATAAAAATTATAAAAATAAATTCTCATGTTCAACATATGCTTAAAATTCCTCAAACTCACAGTATCGAAGTTTAATGGAGTGATGTCCCTTTAGTTTAATCAAGCTCAGACTTAATAAGAGTATTTGCTCACCATTAACATAGACCCAATATATTAGTCAACAGTTCCACTAAAAATTAGTAAGGAGCTCAGAACTCACTGTCTCTAAGCACGCAGAAAGGATTGTCATGCCGGGCAAAGCATCAATTCCACGCTGCAAAAGGTTAACATAACAGACATTCAAGATGTATGTGATATAACCTATGACAGAAGTGACAGAACACAGAGAACAGACACATTGCGACTATCTTAGGCTTGCAAATTGCAAGTGGAAGAAAAATACTGACCTGGCGTTCCACTCTCGTCTTGTAAATGAACCCTCCACAGCAAAAGAGTGTTGAAGAGACAAAAAATCTGCCCAATAACATTTTACCATATATTGAGAATGAATAAAAAAGAAAGACAACAAGAAATCGTTAAGTCATATTCATTAACTAGTAAAGTATTCAGCCAATAACTCAAGGTCTAAATTCTGTTATTTTGCATAATAGAATACAAGTTAAATATAATTGAGTTTCTATACATGCAGGACAGCACTCCAAATATTGCCCACCCTCTTGTGCGACCTCCCCCTGGATCCTGTGTATAGTCTGCAAGAATAAATAAACAGAGCCAGCCATTCATTCAACAGAAATGGTAGTTGAAAGGCGAAAAAAATTAGGTAAAATTACTCATTTGATCCCTATAATTGAACAAACTTTAACTTTTAGTTCCTACACTTAAAAATCATCCTTTATAGTCCATATAAAAACTATTTTGTAAGGACTAGAAGAGATTAAAAATAAAATGTATAAGGACGGAAATTAATTAAAATAGTATTTGTAAGGATTAAAATGAATAATTTCGAAGTATATGGACCAAAATTAAAGTTTATACAACTATAGGGACCAAATGAGTAATTAAACCATAAAATTTAAATACCATTGGTATAATCCCCATACTTGTTGAGTCTTTACATTCATTAAATGCATAGAAAGAACAAGAGGAATAATAGTAGAATTTAATTTTTCTAGGTAAGTACTTAGTATCACTCACCACATGTTTTTGTAAGCACAAATTGAATTGGCTCATAACCCTCAACTGGGATTGTGATATTAACTTCATATGGTGTATCACGGGCCACCTCACCTAGAAAAAGTTGAAACATTAAAGTTTAACGCATATAACTAAGCAGGACACTGATGATCCTAAAATAAGTGGGACCATACATCTCCAATCCAACATCAACATTGAGGGTGACAAAGTTGTAGGAGGCTTCTGTTTCGCAGCAGATCCAGACAATGTAACTTCCAGGCCCTTATCTGGAAATACCTAATTAGCAGCAGATTCAGACAATAGTCACGACCCCAGTGCCTTGAGGAAAGCCAAAAAGAGTTCCCCAGAGACTAATCCAATAAAAGATGTACCTTTAAACTAGGCTTTTTCACGAGGGAAGATAGTGAAGCAACCGCAGTCATAAACAGAACTACATGAGTTTGCCCTGTTTGAAAGCTGTAAAAAGAAAACATATTTGTAATAATTGAAGCAAAGCTTGAGTAAGTGAAACACTACCATGATAACAGAAGAATAAAATGTCAATGATTAACTAAAAGAAGTGATAACAGCAGCAATTCTGACCTAAACTCATGGTGGAGTTTCTCAAAACCAACTTGGGTCAAGCCATTATAAACCTACAATTTTCATATAAGTAAATTTAGTATTATAATTCAATTTAGGAGATAATTCAGTATTATAATACTACGTGTAGATTTATAAAACTAAATTCAGTATTATAAATCTACACTTCATTTTGATATAATATTAATTTGTCCCTTGAATGATTTTTAACATCAAAACAGTCTATAAATTATTATAAAAAAATAATGTCTCAGCTTCTGTCCATGTGGAACCAAGTTGAAATTATTCAAGTTGTGTTTAACAGGCAAACAACATAGAATAGAACAAAAGACGGTAATGTACTGCATATTGTGTTAGGTAACTTCAGAACTGAACTTGACGATGTGTTCTATTTTGCATTTGACACTTAAACAGAACATCAACTTCAATTGCATATATACCAGTCCTTTGGTTTAGTATTAAGAAAATGAAAATGGGATTTTTCATATATCATTATATGATAATTATTATATTATAATTGTAAAATTTATTAAAAGATTTTAGTATGTTGAAAAACTATTAATATTATGAAAAATTCCAATAATTAATCAACCTAGATTGTCTCAAAATGTTTTTGGTTATTAAAAAAATATTTGAAGCAATACATAGAAAAATGTGAAACATGAAAACAAACTCAGTACAGTAGACTATACTAGAAAATGGTGATGACAACAATTAGAAGATAAGGAGAATGAGAAATAAAATATAAATGAAGAAGACGTTAATTGAGAAATCTATTGTGAGTGCAGACAATTAAATGCATAACGTAAAATATCAAAAAAAGTAATTGGAAACTAGTGCACCTCAGAGAGGAGGAAGTGATAAAGAGGAACAGGTGTGTGACCAAAAAGAGAAGATACATACAGCACACTTGATGATAGAAAAAATGAACAGATTGAGTTTGTTCTATTCTTCTATGATCTACCGTTTTTAATGGAACCAAATTGTCTCGCTTCTTAATTTGAATGTTCTGTGCTGTTCTATTTCCGAAATACGATAACCTATACATTATGTTTTGTTCTCCCAATGTATTTTGTGAGAAATCAAATACTATTTTAGGAAAGAATAAATAAGGAAATTTGTATATTTCCTTGTAATCTGTACAGATTTGAATAATTAGGAACAATCCCATAAATCAAGGGATCCTAGCATAAAATAGAGTTATTATATTTCCTAAAATAGTTTAGGTCTCTTGTATATATCTTATATCATCTCTTTGTATTGAGATAATAAAAAAAATCATATTTCAATTAATCTATTTTTCCAGATGATATCAGAGCTTCCGATCTAGAAAGCTCTGTCTGCGCTCGATAAACCCTAAGACGGCAGCCTGCATTGCTACTGCATATTTTGTAACCCTAAGACGGCAGCCTGCATTGCTGCTGCATTTTTCTTAACCCTAAGACGGCAGCCTACATTGCTGCTGCATTTTTCTTAATCCTAAGACGACAGCCTGCATTGCTGCTGCATTTTTCATAATCCTAAGACGACAGCCTGCATTGTTGTTGCATCGCACCTTTTTGCTATAATGTCAAGGGAAGAGGAGATAGAAAGGGTGAAAACCATTCTTAGTAAGCTGGAAAAACCTACAGGTATGTGTTCTTTGGCATACTCAGGTAAGTTTCCACCTTCTTTTGGATTAAATGTCTCAGATACGCCTTTTAACCATTATTGGATATTGGACTCTGGAGCCACAGATCACATGACACCATTAGCCAAACACTTCTCCACATATTCCCCATGTCCCAAGCAACAAGAAAATTGCCACAGCGAGATGGAACCCTTATAACTGCAGCTGATCAAGGAAATATCCAAATCAATCCTTTAATAACCTTAAAAGACGTTCTCCATGTCCCAAAGTTGTCCACGAACCTAGTATCTATACAAAAACTTATAAAGGATTTGTCATGTAAAGTTGTTTTTTCCAATGATCATTGTGTATTTCGGGATAAGGATTCGGGAAGATGATTGGACATGCTAGAGAATGGAATGACCTTTATTATCTCGAAGATCCAAGTCTGCCCAAGCAAGAATAGAATCTCTCACTCCTTCATATCTGAATCCTTGATGACCAACAGAGAAAAAATCATGCTTTATCATTGTCGGTTGGGACATCCCTCTTTTGGAGTGATCAAAATTATATTTCCCTCTCTGTTTACCAAGTTAGATGTTGAGAGTCTTCATTGTGAGGTGTGTGAACTTGCTAAGCACAAACGTATATCTTTTCCAATAAGTAATAGAATTAGCAATTTCCCTTTTTATCTTGTTCATACTCGATGTATGGGGACCTTCTAATATTCCAAATGTGTCTCGGTACTCGATGGTTTGTCACCTTTATAGATGACTGTACAAAGGTCACTTGGGTTTTCCTACTTAAACAAAAATCAGAAGTCAGTTCTGTCTTCCTAAACTTCCACTCCATGATAAAAAATCAGTTTGGTGTTAATATTAAGAGGCTTAGGTCAGATAATGCCAAAGATTACTTCAATCATGTCCTTAATTCTTTTTGTCAAAAAGAAGGTATAATTCATGAGTCCTCTTGTGTCAAAACACCACAACAGAATGGGGTCGCAGAGAGGAAAAATGGACATCTATTAAATCAGACTCGGGCATTGTTGTTCCAAAAAAGTGTCCCAAAAAATTTCTGGGGGGAAGCTGTCCTTACAGCAACATACCTTATCAATAGACTACCCTCTAGAGTCTTAGGATCAAAAAACCCTATGGAAGTTTTGTCGTCTTTCTATCCAAACTTGTCTACTACAAATAATCTTAAACCAAGAGTTTTTGGGTGCATCTCATATGTCCATATTCATAGTACAGACAGGGGAAAACTTGATCCTAGAGCCTTAAAGTGTGTCTTTGTTGGTTACTCACCCACTCAAAAAGGGTATAAATGCTACCACCCCCCATCCAAAAAATTCTTTGTGTCTAGGGATGTTACCTTCAATGAACAAGAGGGCTATTTCCATCAACCTTATCTTCAAGGGGAGAGTTTCAGGGAAGATAAGGAAAGTAGTGATTCTGGTTTTCCCATTCTTCTAGACTTGACATTTGAACCTAAACGAAATCATATTGAAAGTAGTAATTCTGGTTTTCCCATTCTTCCAGACTTGATAATGGAACCTAAACAAGATCAAATTGAAGATCAAATTGAAGTTGTAACAAATGAAACAAGTCAAGGAATTGGTCAAGCAAAGGAAGTTGGTCAAGAAAGTGAAATTAATTGTGAAGCTGATCAAGAAGATGTTGAAACTGGAAAATTTGGTAAGAAGCTGGTGTACTCAAGGAAGACTAAGGTCATTCCAGGATCAAGCCATGTTCAAGAATCCAACTCGACTCCACAAAAAGAGGTAACAATTTTTTCTCCAGCTGTGCAGGTTGAAATTGAAACCCAAAATGATCCTGACCTCCCAATTGCCATTAGAAAAGGAACAAGAAAATGCACCAAACAACCACTCTACCCTCTCTCAAATTACCTGTCCTTTAAAAATTTCTCTCCTACCCATAAAACCTTCCTAGTAAACCTAAACACCGTACTTCTACCTAATACCCTATCTCGAGGCATTGTTCGACAGAAAATGGAGGCAAGCCATGGATGAAGAGATGGAGGCATTGGAGAAAAACAACACTTGGGAGTTAGTCATCTTACCAATAGCAAAGAGGCCAGTTGGATGTAAATGGGTCTATACAGTGAAATACAAGGCTGATGGATCAATTGAGAGATATAAGGCAAGACTAGTTGCCAAAGGGTTCACCCAAACCTATGGAGTTGATTATTTGGAGACCTTTGCTCCGGTTGCCAAAATGAACACAGTTAGGGTGATATTGTCCCTTGCTGCCAATTATGGTTGGAACTTGGAACAATTTGATGTTAAGAATGCTTTCCTACATGGAGATCTTGAAGAAGAAATCTATATGGAAATACCTCCGGGATATGGTAAAGATGTTGCTACCAACACTGTTTGCAAGTTGAAAAAGGCATTATATGGGTTAAAACAGTCCCCCCGTGCATGGTTTGACAGGTTTACTAAAGTTATGACAGGTCTGGGTTACAAACAAAGCCAAGGGGACCATACTTTGTTTTTTAAACATTCCAAGTCAGGGAGAGTAACAATATTATTGGTGTATGTGGATGACATAATATTAACTGGAGATAATAAAGAAAAGCAACAATTATTGAGTCAATGCTTAGGCAAGGAATTTGAGATCAAGACTTTGGGAAAACTAAAATATTTTTTGGGAATTGAAGTTGCCCACTCCGAGAAAGGGATATTTATATCTCAGCAGAAATACATCACTGATTTGCTCAAGGAAACTGGCAAGGCAGCTTGCAAACCTGCTAGTACCCCATTAGAACCAAACCTAAAGCTTGGAAATGCGTAAGAAGATGTTGCTCGTTGAAAAAGATATGTACCAAAGATTAGTGGGCAGACTTATATATTTGTCACATACCAGGCCGGATATTGCCTATGCAGTGAGTTTAATTAGCCAATTTATGCATAGCCCAAAGGAGACCCATTTACAAGCTGCCCACGTAATTTTACAAGTACCTTAAAGGAACTCCAGGAAAAGGGATTCTATTCAAAAGGAATGGTAATGTGAAACTTGAAGCCTATACTCGATGCCGATTATGCGTGGTCAATTGTGGATAGGAGGTCAACTACGGGATATTGCACCTTTCTTGGAGGAAATCTTGTGACTTGGAGAAGCAAAAAGCGGGTGTAGTGGCTCTGGTCCAAAGGTCTGAGCAGAATTCCGAGCCATGGCACAAGGTATATGTGAGTTGTTATGGCTTAAAATCATCTTAGAAGACTTGAGGATAAAGTGGGAAGAACCTATGAAGCTCTATTGTGATAATAAGTCAGCAATCGAGTATAGCCCACAACCCAAGTGCAAGCATGATAGAACAAAGCATATTGAAGTAGACAGACACTTCATCAAAGAAAAGCTTGATAGTGGCTTGATATGCACTCCATATGTGTCCTCTCAATACCAAATTGCAGACATTCTTACTAAGGGACTGGGCTGCCATAATTTTGAGAAGATTGTATCCAAGCTGGGAATGGAAAACATCTATTCACCAACTTGAGGGGGAGTGTGAGAAATCAAATAGTATTTTAGGAAAGAATAAATAAGGAAATTTGTATATTTCCTTGTAATCTGTACAGATTTGAATAATGAGGAACAATCCCATAAATCAAGGGATCCTAGCATAAAATAGAGTTATTATATTTTCTAAAATAGTTTAGGTCTCTTGTATATATCTTATATCATCTCTTTGTATTGAGATAATAAAAAAAAATCATATTTCAGTTAATCTATTTTTCCAGATATTTCTGCTCTCCTTTTTTCCTTTTTCAAATTTAGTTTGGGTTTGCCGCAACTGATTGGTAGTGGCAGAGGTGCCAGCCATGTTGGGATGCCTGTCTCTATTGTGATGCTTTTGCACGCCTTGTGTGTTAAAAAATGTTATGTTCTGTTTCTGTTCCAACTTGTCTACCAAACACCATGATAGGAATAAACCTCCTTTTAAGAGGGTCTATGAGAGAAGGCACAGGCAGCTGTAGAGGATGACAATCCTTAATGGGTCAGTTTCACTGTAAATAATCAATTAATTATTTAGGTGGCGCAGAGGTCAGTTAGTTGCTAGTAGAATCAATAGAACTGGGACGTGGGTTGATGGGGTATTGTACAATTGGGAAGTGTGGGAGAGGGTCGAGACTCTCAAAGTACTCAGTATTTTCTTATGATACTGAATCTTCTTCGGTCTGATTCTACATTGAGACAGATCAGAAATATAAGTTCTTTGTATCACGGTCATGCGATCGCAATTACCAAATTTATTATTTGAATTTGCTGTGACTAATTTTTTGTGGAGTAAATTGGTGCGACAATAATCTAGTGAGGACTGAAATGAGCGTTCCCTCTAATTTAATTCCAGGCATTATGCATATTTTCTTTAAGAAAACAAATACACAGTGTAAGTGGTAGAAGCTGCTCACAAGTTCCCATGATCTTGGATGAAAACCAACAGTGAAGCCTTGAAATATTTGAGGGCCTGGGTTATCACATGGCATTGCAAGCTCCACTAAAACTCTGAAAAACATTAAGATCGACTTATATTTTACACATTCAAATCATACTTTAGCAGCTAACATGGGAAATCAATAGCAATAATAAAAAACATACACCACTTTTGAAAATGGTAAGATGAATAGAAGTACATTAACAAACAAAAACTAGAAAATTATCATGATATTGATTAAAATCTGTTCTAAATTATTTAGGTAAAAATATTTGTATTCATACAATATTTTTTCCCTTTTCACATTCAAAAACAGAAGGAAGCTGTATTGATTGAACGTTAGTAATCTGGTATTAATATATATGGTATCATTACTAGTCAATGGTCATTAAAAAGCATGATTATAGACAACAATTCCTAGACATCAGCTCTCTGAGGCAGCTAGAACTAAGTGTGATGACTATGACTATTAACAACCATGGAGTGGGTCTAGCACAAGAAGTTAGCTCAAAGAAGAGGATTGCCCCACCAGTTACTCTGCAAGGATGACTATGCACATGTATTCCTAACCATGTGAAACGTCTAACATACCTCCTGTTGTGGGAATAATTCTTGTAATTAATAGCTAATTTTTGTCAATAATTAGCCTGTACAGATTCTTGGTCTGTTTAGAGTTGTACAGTTTTTTAGCCTCCGGAAATTCCTTAATTAAAGTTTTCTAGTTTCTGTTAGAAACTTATTCATTAATTTTTACATTTCAGTGCTGGCCCCCATAATTCTTTTATTTCCACATTGATTCCGGTATTTTCATGCATTTGTATTTTAGTCTCACAAAGATCAATACCTGAATAGGTGAAAACAATAGAAAGCATGAAATCCTCCATCGACAATACGGGATATTACCTAAATGCGTTATAACTGTGGGACTAAAGCCTAAATAAATTAAAAAAGAAGGACTAATACCTTACATGGAAAGGATCAATATCCAAATATGTGAAAAAATACGGATCAATATCCAAAGGAAAAAACACAAGCACTAAAAACCCAGTATGGTTAATTTCTCACTTAAACCTAAAAGATAAATTTAAATGGGAGGGGGCAAAAAGAGGAAACTTCAAATAAAGTGTTATTGCTTTTAAAGACCAACTTAAAGTAAAGCACATTCTTTGTTGTGACTCAAAAATTAATATTGCTAAATGCTAAATTGTTACTAAACAAATGAAAGTTTTTGACATCTGCATTTTACAATGAAAAATGACAGTCCAATACAGGTAAAGTATCAAAGACCTGCAGTTTGATTCATATGTGACATTACATATGCATCCAGGATGACCTGCAATAAGAAAAAACAAAAAAAAATTGTGATTTGCTTCTTGAAACAGGATTAAAAATAGCAAAAGTCTTTTCAATATGGCATCAAGACAATTTATGACCAATATCATGGAGAAATCTGCTTTACACAGATCACTTGACGATTTGTTATCTCCCTAGTTTTTTCCTCTATTTTTCAGAATTTTGTTTATGCTGTACATTTCAATTACTTGTGCTTCTAAACAGCCCACAAAGATAGTTCACCAAAAAAAAGAATCTGAGAGCGGAAAGGAATAAAGGTTGGATCGTCGCTAGCACTAACTGATATCTCAAAATATGATCATACCTTTACATTGCCCATTCAAACAACTCCCACATATGATATTTACCTGAAAAACATGAATGTAAAATGTGAAACCGTAAAGACCACATATGTCAAGAAGTCCATACTTCTTAAAGTAATAGACCAAAAAAGTGAAGTGTTTAGGATGTCAATAAGCTAGGTTCTAATTTATTTGACTAAATTATAAGGCTTTGTTTACCACATTAAGGTATTTGGCAAACAAGCTAATATCACTAGCAGATAGCTTACAATATTGTATTTTTTTTTCTTCCAGTTTTATGCTTATTGTTTTAATGCACTACCTTTAGGGGGGTTTCTAAACAATTTACATTACGACTTTTTAATACAGTAGCATATTCTTCATATTGTTGGAATGGAAATAATGAATGAAGATGTCCTACATTGGCTAAGAATAAACAAGATGAATAACATATAAGGAAGAAGGAACCATACACTCAATGCCTTAAAGTTTTACAATGAATATAGCATTAAGTTTATGTGTGTAATTCTCTCCTAGCTCATTGATGAAGGTATCCTCAACGTTTCATCCCCCTTCATATTTCATAACAAGTGGTATTAGAACCTTTGGAGCAATCAAGTGACCAATTCATACAAGTATTGAAGTACAACAAAGTAGTGAATCCATGTCGGGATCTATGTATCAAAACTTCAAAACCTTCCTGGCAATGTAAAAGTCTGACTGCATGTCCCATTAATGATACCAGTACAAGTAATGTCACCCTTTCTAAAACTTGTGGATGAAACAAATACAACTTCTACTTGAGGGAGAGCATACCATGTGTAAGAAAGTGTGAACAAATTAAGTGTGAAGGTGTCATAAACACCCGTCTTAAGATTTTGAATTAAATACAATGTTAAATTCATTGGTGTAATTCTTGTAGCTCATTGATGGAAATCTCCCCAATGTTTTAACTCTCACAGATTTCATAACACAGATAATATTATTCATAATAATTATTACAGTATTTATTCCAATTTTTAATAAAGTATTTAACCGTTAAAAAATTAATAAGCAAATTAAATTGACAGAGAAAATCTGAAACTAACCTAGACATATTTTCTTCTACAAAACAAAAAATATAATCTGTATAAAAAGTTATATAAATATGTCCTTTATTTCATTTTTTACATTATATCAGCTACTTCAACAGAAATTTTTCTCAAACATATTTAATTTAACAAGCTAATTTACAAATTTTAAGCTTTAATCTAGTTTATATGCTTTAATGAGATTGTAAATTTAAGCTAATTTATAAGTTTTAAACCAGCTTATTAGACAATTTTGGCAGATACACCCTTAGCCTAGTGGGCACATATTTCATGTTTCTATACTTGATAATTAACATAGTGCTAGATTCATCCCAATTCCTACCTAGGAGCTTGTGCTCGGTCATATCCCCCTTATTCATAAGATAAGCACTCTATTCATGTTCTAAAGTGGTATGCTATTAGATTACTTTATTAAAAAAAAAAAAACAAAAAAAAAGTTATAGAAAATGGAAAATTTCAGAATTGCACCAACCTGGGCAGTTCGTCCCATTTTGTCGTAACTTTTTTCACAACCCATAAGATCACCATCATAAAACTCCTACACATAGAGAAAATGGCTTAAAAGGCAGGGTGGTGATATTAAAAAAGAAAAGGATGAGGTCTACATATATTTCTCAGTTTAATGTCATGAGACTCTACATATTAACTTACATTAGTACCTGCTACTCTACCTGAGACCCATGTAGTCTCACATTGACCACAAAGGAGATTGCAACAATTTTGAAGTTCCCTTTGAATATTAATTATATTTGCAAAAGGAAATTGTTTCAACCTTTTATAGAATTAAAACACTGCTACTGTGACTAAAAAATTTTAGCATGCTCCTAGGACCATTTTGCTTTCAATCTTTCATTATGATTTGCACACATTTAACATCTTGCAATGTGTTTGACACTGCCAAGTGTTCTCCCTAGCGAAAAAGGCTCTAGAAAGTAGTGGAAGAATAATATATAAATTATAATAATTCCATTCTGTTGTAAAGAATATGGACAGCGGTAATTGTCACATGCACGAGTGAGAAGAGTAGCATGGCATATGATGGGGAGCATAAGCAGCATTGCAACACCTTTGCACCAGAATTAGTTACACAAATCTACCAAGTGGCAGCAAATCCACATTATGCAGGACTGAGAAGGTGCAGAAGAATCACAAGGAAAAGCACTAAATTGGAAGGTTTTGCAACATGAGAGCATTAGGCAAGTGGCAACTAACTTTCTTTTATACTCTCTTTTCAATTCTCTCTCTGCATATTTCACTCCGGTATTGAACCTTGCCTACTTTTCTTCTGCAGAGATATTTCCTATATGCTGCTGTACCAGAATTTTATGATTTAGCTCAAGACAAAAAACTCTCTTTCATTTTTATGATTTAGCTCAATCCAAAAGCTCTATTTCAAGGGTGTTTCCATTGACATCATGGTTGAGAACACTAAACTTAAGGAATTACAAAGGTAAAAAATTGAAATACAGAACTCAAATCGGTTGATGAATATTCAATTGACAACGAATGAGAGAATGGACCAGTTGCAAAACACAATGGATCTATTGATTCAACATCATTCTCAATCCCATGACGAGTCCACTTCAAACACTACCGCTGCTACTCGGGTCACTCGGTGAATGTATTTTCGGTGTACTGACATCGTTTTGGGATTTTTCCATTTTGAACGTAGTTCATCAGTGTTGGAATGAATTTTCAAGATTGAAAAATTTTCCAGTTACCATAATAATAATGCTATTGCTAATATCTACAACATGTGGTTATTAGCAGTTTTATTGACATCGAATTACAGAAAATATTGTCAACCAAAAATCCTTTCTAAAAATATATCAGATTCCGTGACAGGTTACTACCAAGTTGAGAATATTAAGTTCAAGTTTAGACTTAAGGCATAATATAAATTTCTTAAATTTTTAATCATTCAGCTCTTCCTCAATCCCACATAAAACAGAAAAAAGAAAAAGAAAAACATAAAAATAAGTAAAGAAACACAAAAAGAAAAAAGATGACGACAACATGAGAAAGCAACGTGTTTGCAACGGGAGAAGATAGAACGTATTTGCAGAGGAAGAAGACAAAATCAAAGGGTAATTTTGCGATCGGAAATAGTATTTACTTCTTTGTTTTGGATTTGAGTCGAGTGGTATGACCCAACTCATTTTTTTATTATTATTGGGTCTCATAACCCTAACCCTAATAGACAAGTTATTAAGGTTTGCCTAAGATTGGGTCGCACGGACCCGAAGCTTCTTCAATCATCAACGTGCAACACGACGCTGCATTGTAAGAGCAAGATTTCCACCATGGTCATTTCATGACGTTATTTTGTGATGGATATATTGGTTGCCATGGAAATTCTATTCGCCACAGCCTTGATAGGGATGAGAAAAAGGGTCCATCCTTTCGTCCCACTTTAGCCCGCTAAAAACGAGACAAGACAGTATGACCTATTATAATCATGACATGACGGACTGTATATCTTTTCAACAGGTTAACGAGCTCTCCCACCATAATTTTTTTAAAATTAATTTATTTGTCTCTTTTAAATCAATTTTTTTCAACAAGTTTAATAATAAAATTATCATTTATTTGTCAACAATTCAATTTATATATTTTAAGTTAATAATATAAATTGACATATTATGTTAAGATATTATAATTTAAAATAATTAAATTAAGATAAAATTTATATAATAATAAATAATAACAAATACATGTAGTTAACGTCAAAACTTGTAAAATTTCTATTTTTTATATTGAAAATTTTACATTATATTTTTTTTATTTGATAAAACTTAATGTTGTTCTCTTCTTGAGCAATTCTCACATCTTCAATTTAAGTAATGAATTACTCAGGATGAGCAAGTAGATGATGTGTAAGGAAGAGAGAAGAGAAGAGCTTGTGCTTGAGAAAGGAGAGTGTTTCCGTAGTGAGTGAGTGAGAGTTGGACTTTTTTAATTATCTTTTCACAAATTGTCACTTTATATGTTGCTTTTGTGCCTGAATGTACTAAAAATATATTTTTTTTATCAATTAAGCAAACCACAAACTGATGGACTAAAAATACCAACTCGCTCCACCATATTCAAGCCTGACCCGTTTTGTCATCCCTACACCTTGATGTGGCAACCAACAAAAATTCTAAGACCGATTTCCGCCATGGTCGGTATTTAATAACACTAGTTATTAAAGGTCACATTAGAACCTTTCTTGGAAATTCCTTCCAATATAGAGCCTAAATTAATACTCTTATGTCATTCGAATTATCTAATGCACCAGCTACATTTCATAACTTAATAAATATCATTATTCAGGTTGTGTCGCAGAAGTTTTCACTCGTTCCTTTCAACAATATCTAATGCCCACATGGAACATCCATATAACTCATTTGGAGTGTGTTCCTCGCTCTTTACAACAACATCAACTATATGCTCGTTTTGTTTAGTGTTCCTTCAAGGTGCAGGTTTTGACTATTTAGGTTATACATTGTCTGGATTGGGGTAGCTATGGAGGGTCACAAACTTACTATATGTTGAATATAGAGGAAATACAGTTTGAGATAATCTCCCTTATATATAAATCACACAAAGGTAATTTATTTATAATAGAGAGAGATACAACTAAAAGAGTAACAAAAAATAAACAAAATAAACAGAAGATATTGTTTGATATTGTGATTAACAATATCTAACAATATCTTAACAATATCTAAACAATATTTAACACTCCCCCTCAAGCTGGAGCATACAAATTGTGTGTGCCAAGCTTATTACAAATATAATCAATTCTAGGCCCCCGTAAAGACTTAGTAAAAATATCTGCTAACTGATCACTTGAGTTAACAAACTCAGTCTTGATGTCTCCAAACATAATCTTTTCTCGAATGAAATGACAGTCAATCTCAATGTGTTTGGTCCTCTCATGAAAGACAGGATTAGAACTAATATGAAGAGCAACCTGATTGTCACACACAAGTGTCATTTAAGTGACATCTCCAAATTGTAACTCTCCAAGCAATTTCTTGAGCCAAACAAGTTCACAGGAAGCTGATGCCATAGTTCTATATTCTGCTTCTACACTGGATCTTACCACAACACTTTGTTTCTTACTTTTCCACAAAATCAAGTTACCACCAATAGAGACACAATATTCAGATGTAGATCTTCTATCCAAAGGAGATCCTGCCCAATCAGCATCTGGGTAGCAAACAACTCTTGTATGGTTATTCGAACCATATAATAATCCTTTTCCAGGAGATCTTTTAATATACTTCAAGATACGAATGACTGCATTCCAATGATCTTCACATGGGGAATTAAGAAATTGGCTTACCACACTGACTGCAAAGGAAATGTCAGGACGAGTAACTGTAAGTTAATTCAATTTTCCAACCAATCTTCTATACTGCTCAGGATCAGATATAGGCTCCCCTGATTTGGTAGAAGTTTAGTATTAGGATCCAAGGTTGTATCAACAGACTTTGAACTCATCAACCCAGTTTCCTCCAAAATATCCATGGCATACTTCCTCAGAGATATAACAATATCATCAGTGGATTGTATCACCTCAATACCCAAGAAATATCTAAGTTTGCCAAGATCTTTGGTCTGAAAATGGTGACATAGATGTTTTTCAACTGAGAGATGTCATGGTTGTCACTACCTGTAAGAACGATATCATCAACATATACTATCAAGTAAACACATCCAGCACTCGAGTGTCGATAAAAGACAGAATGATCTGCTTCACATCGAGTCATACCAAATTGTTGAACAACCTTGCTAAACTTTCCAAACCAGGCCCTAGGAGACTGTTTTAGGCCATATAGGGATTTGTAAAGACGACATACCATCCCAGAAGACTCCCCCTTAGCAACAAATCTAGGAGGTTGCTCCATATAGATTTCTTCTTGCAAATCACCATTGAGAAAAACATTTTTAACATCCAGTTGATAAAAAGGTCATTGTTGAAGAGCGGTCATGGCGATAAATAAAAGAACAGAAGCCATTTTCGCCACGGGAGAAAAGGTATGTCCATAATCCAACCCAAAAATTTGAGTATAACCTTTGGCCACAAAATGAGCTTTGAGGCGATCAAGTCCAACTTTGATAGCAAACACCCACCTACAACCAACAACAGATTTTCCAGACGGTAATAAGACCAATTCCCAAGTTCCACTATTATGAAGAACACTTAGTTCATCTAACATGGTCTGACGCCAACTAGGATAGACTAAAGCTTCACGGACAATTTTTGGAATGGTCACAGAAGAAATAGGGGAAAGACATGTATAAAAAGGTAATGACAGTCGATGATAACTCAAAGCAATATAATGGGGAGATGGATTACGTGTAGAACGGATAACTTTTCGGAGGGCAATGGGAAGGTCAGACTCAGGTGTCAGATCCAGAGGAGATAGAGTAGTTGACACTTAAGTGGAATCACATGGTGGTGATTGTGATTGACTTCGGCAACTATAAACCTGAAGAGGCGGTGGAGAAGAAGCTAACTGCGGAATAAGAACTAATGCACAATTAGAGTGTCACACACAACAGGAACATTAAATGTACTAGGAGTGTTGGCAGGATTGGATGGAGACAGAGGTGAAGATTGATTTTTAAAATAAAGAAAGAACTCATCAAAGGTGACATCTGCAGACACAAAATAACGGTTAAGAGAAGGAGAAAAACATTTGTATCCTTTTTGTGATCTTGTAAACCCTAAGAAAACACATTTATGTGATCTAGGAGAAAGCTTGTCAAGACCAGGGCTTAAATTATGAACAAAACATGTAGACCCAAAAACTTTTAGAGGTAAGGAATGAAGAGGTTCATGAGGGAATAAAATGGAATGAGGTATTTTATTATCTAAAACCGAAGAAGGCATGCGATTAATGAGATAACATGCGGTAAGAAGAACATCATCCCAAAAATGTTGAGGAACCTCTCCATGAATTAAAAGAGTACGAGTTGTTTCAATAAGATGTCTATTTTTGTGTTCAGCTGCACCATTTTGTTGAGGTGTATAAGCACAAGAAGTTTGATGCAAGATATCGTGAGAAGTCATGAATTGTTTAAAAGAATGAGAAAGATATTCACGACCATTATCACTGCGCAAAACTCTAATAGAAATAACGAACTGAGTTTGAATTTCATTGAAAAAAGTTTGAAAGATATGAAATAATTCAGAACGATTTTTTATCAAAAATAACCAAATGCATCTGGAATAATCATCAATGAAAGTAACAAAATATTGAAAACCTAAAATAGACGTAACGCGGCTAGGTCCCCAAATGTTAGAGTGAACCACGGCAAAAGGGGACGAAGCACCACGTGTGACACTACGAGGAAAGGAAGTAAGACTATGCTTGCCTAATTGACACGACTCACACGCCAAACTAGACAAGGCAGGGACAAGTTTCTGTAACTTGACAAGACTTGGATGACCTAACTGAGCATGAAGAAGAGAGGGAGACTCCATAACTGCACCAACATGTGTAGAGGGATGAAGAAGATAAAGACCATGAGACTCATATCCTCTGTCAATCACCTGTTTCGAACTCTGGTCCTATAACACACAAAATTATTGGTAAAAGAAACAACACAATCAAGAGAACGAGTTAGACGACTGATAGACAGCAAGTTAAAAGGAGACTCAGAGACATAAAGAATATTATCAATGGTTAAAGAAGGGAAAAGTTTAACAGTTCCAACACCATGAGATGATACTCTAGAGTCATCAGCTAGTGTAACAGAAGGTAAAGGATTAGAAGAGGATAAAAAGGAAAACAAAGATTTGTTACCAGTAATATGATCAATGGCTCCTGAATCAAAAACCCAAGGACCAAGAGAAGAGGATTGGGTCAGACCAGCAAAATGTGTATCAGTGTGTGCGAAAAATGTAGTGGAACTAGAAGATTGTTAATCCTTATACCATTTGAGAAATTTGTTGAACACAGCAGGTGTGTCGGATGCAATAGAAGAGGGAGGATCCCCAGCAGACAAAGGTGGGGAAAGATTGGTCTGAACAACTGCTGTAGATCGAGGAGGACGACCATGTAATGCATAACACTTGTTAATCTTGTGACCTAGCTTGCCACAATGTGCACACTTAAGATGCCTTTTTCCCTGTTTGCGAGGGCGAGTCCGGTCATCAAGGTGAGATGCCATCACAGAAGAATCATTAACAGAATTGGTAGTAAAAGGAGTGGAAGAAGTCATGAAGGGCAGGAGAACAAACCCTAAAAAAAATCCAAAGTAATCCAATCAACCGACGAAGCACAGATCCAAAACGAGAAGACAAAACAAGTCCGTCGAGACTAAACGACGTCGGAGACAATAGACGACCAACTCCGATAGTGGTGATCTCAACGGCACGATGATCACCTTACCGAAATGAACAAAACCTATGTCACCGGTCAAAAATGAAACTCCGACGACGGCTCTGGCGATTGCTCCGGCGGCGGCAGCAGTGACAGCAGCGTGAACCAGTACACCAGGTAAGTTCCCAGGAAAGAGAGGTGAGTCACTAATAGACACGCTTAAATACCAAGTTTTTCCTTATCAGAACCTTCCTAGACATGCACTTTCACACTACCAAATAATATCCAAAAACAAAAATAACTTTTTTTTGATGTGGAAGATTAGTTTAACCGGCAGCAGCGGCGATGGCGACTTCAACAGTGGATAATGGCGAAAAAATTTCAAAATAACCTTAAGCTCTAGATATCATGTTGAATATAAAGGAAATATGGTTTGAGATAATCTCCCTTGTGTATAAACCACACATAGGTAATCTATTTATAATAGAGAGAGATACAACTAAAAGAGTAACCGAAAGTAAACAAAATAAACATAACAATATCTAACAATAACTAAACAATATCTAACACTATAGTTATGGGGTTTCTTGGTTGAACAACTTTGTGGGTTTCTTGGTTTTATGTGGTATTATAGATGCTTTGGTAAAGGGTTTGCTAGGCTTACCTCTTCATTAAATCTTAAAAAGGACTCCATCTTGGAATGATGTTGTTACCCAAGCTTTTAATAGCTCAAGCAAGCCCTTACGTCAACTTGCACTTCCTAATTTTCATCAACCCTCCACACTAGAAATTGATACTTGTGTGTCTAGAATTGGGGTAGTACTACTCCAAGATAACCATCCCATCACATATATCTTAAGAAACTCTTATTGTGGATGCACCACCAATCAACTTATACCAATGAATTTTATGTTACCAAGGAGGCCATGGCTAAATTTCATCATTATCTTTTAGGTCATCGCTTGAAAATTAAAATAGGTCAAAGGGGTCTAAAAGATTTATTGGATTGAAATTTGCATAAGCTTAAGTAATAAAAATGTCTTCATAAGTTCTTAGACTATGATTTCTCTATCCAATGCAAGCTAGCAAGGAGAATATACCTACAAACACTTTTTCATAGCTTTAAGATGGTGTGGTCGACTCTTATTAACAATTGGTTGCTCCGCATGCCTAAATTACAACAAGACCCAAATTTGGTTCAATTTTATAAAGCTTGTTTTGCACATGATTTGCATTACCTAGATTGTTCTAAATTATTTTCCTAAGAATGGCGTGCTATTATGGGAGGGTCATATTGTCATTCCAAAATGTGATGAACTTATTCAATGTATTTTTCAAGAATTTCATTCTTCCAAAATTGGGCCTAGATTTGTGCTCAATTTTATTGATCTCAAATGTAGCAAGATGTTCATCACTCAGTGTATGAATGCACAATCTGCCAACAAGTTTGGAATGAGATAGCCATGGATTTCATTACAAACTTGCCTCCTTCCCACGGTTTTTCCACTATCAAAGGTCGTGATTAAGGGTGTCAACATGGGTTGTATCCGTGAGTCAACATGGCTTACCAGGGGTTCAAGTTGGGTTGGGTTTGATTTTTTTTCATTTTTACCAATAATAGGCTAAAATGAACCCGACTCACTTAACCAACGGATTAAATTTTAAAAAATAATTATAATAATTTATTAACTCTAATTGATGTTATCCTGCTTCTCCACCACTACTTCATGTTGTCACTACAAGTCAAACCCTCATTCAACCTAGTCATCAATTGTCTGCTGCTACACCTGGACTGCTTGCCATCCATCCGTAGCACCACTATACCACCATGTTTGTTGAGTCACAATTTGTCCCGCCACCACGTTTTAGTCTTAAGTTTCAATCGCTCCACAACGTTTGTCACATTTCAGTCTCGTTACAACATTTTTCGTATTACCGCATCACTACGTTTCAGTCTCGCAATTCAGTTATGCTTATTAGAAAAAAAAAAGTTGAAGAACAAAAAATAAATATGGGTTAGTCAACCCACCAACCCGTAGTGGGTTGAGTTAGTTGTAAAATTTTTGGGTCATCATAAAGTAAGTTGGATTGAACTCGATTATTTTTAGTTCAACCCGTGATGAGCCAACCCGTATGAGCCGGGTTGGCTCACTTTGACACCCCTAGTCATGATGAACCATTTGTCCAAGTATGGCCACTTCATACCTCTCAAGGCTACTTTCACTAGCAAGATATTTGTTGATCTTTTCATCTGCTCATATTGTGAGGTTGCATGGCATTCCAAAGTCTATTGTGTATAATAGAGATAGTGTGTTCATCAATTCCTTTTGGCAATATTTGTTCAAGGCACTACTCTCCTAATGAGTTCTTCATAACATCCACAAACTAACGGACAAACAAAAGTTGTAAACAAAATGCTGAAAGTGTATTTATGATGTTTTGGTTCTGAAAATCCTAAGAATTGGTTCTTTTTGCAGCCATGGGTGCAATTCTAGTACAATTCATCAGTCTTGATGGTTCACCATTCAAGGCAATTTTCAGTAGGGACCCTTCTTTATTATTTTGTTATGTGTTCAACCCTATGGAGCTTGTTTCGATTCACAATTCTTTGAGAGAATGGGATAAGGTGCTACAAGGCTTAAAGGAACATTTGATTAGAGCACAAAACTATAGAAATGTCCAGCTGATAAAAAGCGCAATGATTTTTACCTAGCGATTAGAGATTTGGCTTCAGCCAAATTACAACCTTATCCCCCTGTCTTTCATGTGTCCTTACTTAAAAGGTTTCATGGTCCTCTAAAACAACATTATCTACCATTTCCTTTCACAACTTCTGATTTTGTTGTCATTGTGAATCCCCCTCATGCATTAGCTTATCGCACTATACTTCATGGTCCCAAACAGATACCGCATGTTCTCACTCAATGGAAAATAACATATCCTCATGAATTGGGAAGACAAAAATGTCCTCGGGGAGTATTATCCTCATTTCAACCTTGAGGACAAGGATACTTTCGATGGGAAGGGTATTGTCACCGGCACACGTGCTGAGAGTAGCATGGCTTATGATGGGGAGCATGAGCAGCATAGCAACACCTTTGCACTAGAACTAGTTACACAAATCTGTCAAGTGGCAGCAGATCCACATTCTGCAGGAGTGAGAAGGGGCAGAAGAATCACAAGGAAATGTACTAAATTGGAGGGTTTTGCAATATGAGAGGATTATGCAAGTGGTAATCAACTTTTGAGTCTCTCTTCATTTCTTTTTCTCTGCATATTTTACTCCATTATTGAACTTTGCCATCCGTTTCTTGAGCAGATATATTTCCTATATGCTGTTGTGCAAGAATTTTATGATTCAGCTCGATACAAAAACTTTGTTTCATTTTTATGATTTATGTGACAAAAACTCTGTTTCAGTAACCTAAGCTCTACATATTAGGTGTTCACCAAAAAATCAAAATACAAAATAGACAGAAGGATCTTACTTGTATAAAGTCAGATTGGCCAGAACCAGCAACAAAGTAGTTGAATCTATCAAATCGACCAAAATCAACATATCCCTGGATAGTTTTGGGCATAAGCTGATGAAGTTAAAATATATACACCAATGAAAATGAGCATGCCTTCAAAGATAAAGTCTGTAAAAAAAGATAAGAAACAAGAAAACCAAGGTCCCAGCAATAATTGTTCACGACATACATGACATCTGTGACCTGATTGAAATTTTATCTTGATCTAGGTCAGATATAAGATCCAAAATTTTTGCAGCTTAACCGAATTTAAGTGTTTGGAAGTCAATATGCATTCAAATAGTTGTTAACGAACGAGTCTGTTCTTCCTCATATAACACAAAAACTACTCTACCCACAATCCTCTTGGGAAAGGGGACAAATTAGAGCACAAAATAATGAAAACACGGTGACATGGACTACCGTTTGTGATCTACTCTCCACATCTTTGCAGAATCGCACGGACAAGTCAGAACCTTGCTGCATCAATACAAAGTGAAAAACTCAGCAGCATGTCCAGGCCTAAAATTGAACCGTGAACAAGATCATCCACATGATAAAATAACAGCCAGAGAGAATTACCTTTTCATCGTACTCGAAAAGGTAACCACTCCAGTCAGTCTAATAACCAGTTAAGCCAAAAAAAAAAAGCATAACTAACCAATTCATCATTATACTAAAACCTAAGTGAATGAATCAAATACACAATTAGAATTACGAATATCAAAATGAAATTCTCGATAAAAGTGCATAACAGGTGGAGCGCGTGGAAATGAAGGATACAAAATCAACAATTCGACTTGAATTGTCGAAAGCGTAGCAGTTGGAAGTCGGCACCGAAATTGAAGTCATCCATGGTATCTGCAAAAGCACGCCTGAAATACACGGAAGTTAATAACGACCTTGGTTTTACCGAGACATAGAGAATGGCGTGACGAAAACGACAGACAAACCTAGGCATAAAACAGCGAACGCCGTCGAGCGACGCATTGTTGGAGTGGTTATTGCTTGGGATTTTGGGGAAGGCGATGCAAAGCCGTATCAGTGAAAATCTACATCTAAGCGACGAGTATGAGATATGAGAAGTAACGGAGGAAAAGGCGTTGAGAGTGTTTTGCGGGTTGCCTGCGATAATGTCGTTTATCTGGAAACTCAGGCGACTCAATATTCTATTGTCGTCGTTTGAGACCTTGATGCAAACGCCCAAGAGCCTTGGCGAAGGTTCCGTTCAATTCAAGCCACGATAATCGCACTCGCTGCTAATCAAATCATTAGACCCGATTGTACCCGTAGAAGCAAGACTCGTGTATCTTCATGAATCAAATTATAGATATTGTTTCTCTTACTTGTTAATAATCTCTTCTTAATATCTATTTTACGTAAATGATAAAAAGAAGAAACTCATCTACAATACAATTATCCCTCCCTAATTTTTTTTTTCCTTGTCTCAATTCAAACAAGTCTCTAAGTTTTGAAAGTAAATTTTGTCCATTTTATTTCTTAGTCTTAAATATGAGTTTGTTATCTAGTTTTTTCATTTAAGTCATTAGCTTGCAAGTTTGATACGCACATAAAAAAAAAATGACAAACGAGAAACATTTATACCAATGACGATGATGCAGCAATAACCATTGTAGTTAACACAACTTTCAAAATCTGGTACAAGAAGCGTAATTTGTATAAAGAAATTGAAAAATTTACCCAAAACTTTCTTTTAACTATCTTAAAAAGTTGCAATTTAATATTAAGAATTAATAAAAATAATTTAATAATTATATTTTAAAATATGTGATAATTTTTTATCCAATCTAATCTTATGATATAATTAAATATAATAGACCAATTTTAACATAATTGAAAATAAATAATAATTAATAAAAATTTAAATAAAAGTAAAAAATATATTTTTAATATTTTAATTATATTAATAAAATTATTTTTTTATTTTAGATATAATAATTTAATATAAATTAAAAAAATTCACACTAAAATAAAAATAAAATTTTTATTATTTATTATTATTAGTATTAATTTTTAGTAATATAATAATATAAAATAATAATTCACCTTAATTATTATTTATTATCATTATTAACTTTTAGTAATATAATAATATAAAATAATAATTCATCTTAATTATTCAATTTTATAACAAGTGAATATTAAAAAATTATTTTTATTATTATAAAAAATAATAAATATCTTATTAAATTAATTTACAATATAAAAATATTTTTAATAAAATAATATTTTTATTTTTATTTTAAAATAATTATTATTTTATAGAACAAACCTATCTATAATCTATAACCTAATTTAAAACTATTTAAACTTATCTAAATGACCAACCAAAAATTGACCTACTTTATCTTATGCTATAATTTTCTTTTTAACCTGAATTATTTTTAGACCTTTTGGATCAATAAAACAGAGTAGCTTATTTTTGACATCATAAAGTTAAGTGCTCCCATGACTTCCATATTGGCATACACTTGATCAATGACACAAAACAATTGTAAATTGTGTAGAATCCTTTCCTATTATAATCATAATTATTGCAGACATTTGATAGGCAACAAAATGATTAAAACGCTTCCAGTTTTGTTGAACATGTATATAAATAAATAAATTATAAAAATAAAAAACGTGGATTTGTATATCATTTTTTATTATATATACATATTCTTAAGATAGGTTATTAAATGGGTAGGAAATGTGACTAGCAGAATAATTGACAGAGATGCATTATATAGGCTGAAAATAATTTAATACAAATTATGAAAACAACAATAATATAAGGCTATTGGCATCATTTGAGCCCGTCGTTAAACAGCTCCAACACTGTCTAAAAATGGTTTGTCCGCATCAATACTAGTGATTGCGTGATACGCAGCCCAAATAACTTTAACAGGATTTAACCCGCAACAACGTAGTTGGATAGGATAAATTCTCATTGTCAATCCAAAATGTCAGAGATTAATATCATTCTGGATCCTATTCTCTGTCAAGTAAATTCTAGCTATAAAGTAGCGTTTTCCTTCATACAATACAAAAATTTAATTATTCATTCAATGCTCAGCACTATTTAACTTTGGTTGCCGAGTATGTTACTACCATTGCAAAGAAGACAGAGTTAAACCTTGAAGGGAAGCACACGAAGATGGATACAAATCTTTTGCTGATATGAACAATCCTACCAATTCTTGTGTCTGACGAGTCAACATGAAAATATTTTCAGCCGAATTCTTCGTTACCCATTCCTCTATAATCCTGCATGAATTGTTCAAATCTTTAGCAAGCAATGATTATTCAAGGTTAATGGGTAAACAAATCATTATTCCAACCCGTTCCTCATCAATTTTTTGTTTTTCAAATTATGGTCTCATTTTTAGGCTATTTCAAGATATAAGGGGAAGAAAGAAGTCAAAGCATCTCGTAATCAAACATGGAAAACATCAAGAAATACTAAAGCAAAGATTATAGATGCTCCTAATTCTAAAGTTCAAACCAAAAAAGAAAAATGGAAAGAAATCTCTTTACCTTCTATATTTTTCAAATTAATGGATTATCATGATAAAAGATATAACATGATAACTGACCTTGATTGAGATTCTGTTGCATTGTGGCAATCAGAATAAAGCACTTTGATGATGGGCTGTAACTTCAATTTATGAATTGGGTCTTTGTCCTCTGTACTAGAACAATTACCAGAACAAGACCAAGCATCTGGATTTAAAAGAATGATTTGCAAAGCGGGGGCTTTGGTTGTTAGATCTCTAATAACAAATCGAAACGATGACTCGTCATTTGCACACTCCATCAACTGATTTGCAAACATTTTTCCTATTGTATATTTGCTGTTGACAAATATATAACATTAAAATTCAGGATATATCGTATTTAACAAACAAACATCAAAATAGAATCCTCCTGAGCTTTTACGCCCTTCTCTTGTTTTAATTATATACAAAAGGTTAACTGATAGGCCTTGCAAATAAAATGTAACAGAATAGCTAAAGCCTGAATTACACTACATGCGTACAGTCATGCTCTTCCAGGATCAAGAAAAATCAGCAAGGAAGACAGCTTTCATTTTACCTTTAGCTTATAATATATTTATTAACAACCTTCTGTTTCCAAGAATGTCAAGACCGTCTTCACTATTAACTCTTTTGCGTATAAATGCATGGCATTGGTTGGTAAAGTCTTTGCACACACTGTTATGGAAAGTATTATAATATTGTTCCAACTTCCAAGGAATATAGATACTTTTATTTTGAGACATACTTTTATTTTACTTCCTGAAAACATCCATATAGTGCACGCACATAAAAGAGCTTATGTTGACAATTTATAGTCACAGCCACTTCTTTCTACCCAGGCCTGTATGAAAGACTTAATACCTTTTCTTCCCCAATGTAAAATTTCTACTAACCAATTATTGTCAATCAAATTATTCATTGAGACATTACTTTCATTTAAACAAATCCTAGAAGCGTACATGTTTTAGCAGAGGCATTTCCTTGTAGTCGGCTGTAACTGACTTATAATGGTACAAAACTTGGCACCTTTTTCTTTCTGATAGAGAAGTTATTAAGACAGTGTATGCTAACCTGAACATGTCCTCAGATCCTCCAACTGGCAAACATGTTGAAATATAACACTTGAACAACCGTACTCCTCCATCTACAGGTGTATGCCCCTCAAAACATGGGTAGGCTCCAATGAGAGACATGCATTGAGGGCATGTAAATTCACGCCAATCAATATCCTTTGTAAGATTTGATAATCTAGCCATGAAAATATCTTCAAGAAAACCGTTGAGTAAAGACTTCTGATTTCCCAGAATTTCCATGGTCTCTGTTGGCATCCGTTCCTTTCTAGCAGTTCCACATGAATGATGCCCACTGTCTTCATCCCCAAGATTGTTTGTCATATGAGCACAACAACTAGGAGTTTCCGTGACATCTTGGGTGCCATTTGAATCTGGATGGTAATCAGAGAAATGACCACAATCAAGTTTACTCTTTGCAACTTCACATCTCAAATTCATATAAAGCTTCTCATCCTCAGGGTGTACAAACCTAGAATTGCTATCAAAAGCAAGGGCCATTCCACCATCATCACTGTAAGTTGAACTCCTTTCATCATTCAAGTCACAGTTTCTTGCGCCTTCACTAACACTATCATCTCTGGGATTTTCCGCTACAGAAGTACACTCTTGCTCTCCACACCCTTCAGGAAAATTATATTCCACCAGATCATCCTTGCAAAGAGTGACAGAAGCAGAAGTTAATAGACAGACCCCCGGCATGCACGTATACGAACTGACATACCTCATCACCATCTTCTCACTTATTCCTCCAAAAGAGCAACAACAAGCCCCAAACCAGTTGTCAGCCACTTCTCTCCAATTCACCGACGGCATTTCAACAAAATTCCTAAACAAGTAATGCAAACAAAATCCTCAAGAACAAGAACATGAAAAATGAAAATATTAGCCCCTGACCCTGTTACTACCAGTATATTAACACCTCTTTTTCTAAAAAAACCAACCATGTCTAACATAAGTATATGACGTCTCAATGTTACTAATCATTGTTTAGGGGTATGATATCCTCCTACCTGAGAGGAATTTTGGTCAACTTGAAGGTGCAAGTACTGCAGTAAAAGTCAACTTCTCCTGCAGAAGACAATTTTGTCACATCTGCCACAGAAGAAGAATAGGAAATAAGCACAACTTACGGAACAAACATTAAAAAAAAAAAAAAAAAGGAGGTTAAACATAATTTTTTAAAACAGTAATAAATGAATAATTAGCAGCGAGATTTAATGATTACCAGATTCTAATATGAGAGGGTCCGGCAGCGGATTTGGGGAAGGATGGAGGTTGGAGAGAATGGGGTGGTCTACGGGGAGGAGGAGGAGGAGCTTGACCTCGATGTGGTCGGAAAGTGCGCGGAATGTGACCGGAGAGTCGGCATCGAGTAAAACGGCTGGAAGCGGAACCCTAACGGAGAGGGAGGAGGTTGTGAGAGTGAGGAAAGAGTGTGAGGAGTGAAGGCTGACGGCGAGGTCGTGGCATTGAATAGAGGATTTTAGGGTTTTGTCATTGGGGAAGAGCATTAAACGCAGCGTTGGGATATGGGACTGTGCTTCCCATGTGTAACGCCATCCATGTTCGCCATCACCGTCGCCCATGCTACTACCTTCCTTCCTCTGTGCTCCTCCCAGTCAAATATTGTGCGAGACATTGGCAAGGAATGAATATAGTTTTAAAAAATAAAATTTAAGTTTAAAAATAAAAAGCAATGTGGCTGCTGGGATTCGAGCCCAGGTCTCCACGGCCACAACGTGGAATTCTTACCACTAAACTACAGCCACTTATGTTATTACTTAACAATATTAATTTATTATGTTTTATATAAATGTAAAATCATGTGTATCACTTAATTCAATTCGAACTTATATTGTACATTGGAACCAACATTAATATCTTATGCTGCTTATGTGAAAAATAGTAAAATATTTGAAAGAACTTAATAAAATTACTTATTATTAATCGTAATTGAATTTTTATGGATTTTGAATTAATTTTCTCACTTTACAATAAAATAATATTATTTTATTGAGACTTAAATATGCTCTTTACGAAAAGTTTATTTTAGTGGGAAAATACTATAGGCCAACCTTCGCACATTTGTGATGATGACTAATTAGTCCTTTTGAAACATTACTTTGTATCACTTACATAAAATTGTAAATAGTCCTTTTGAAACATTACTTTGTAACACTCACATAAAATTGTAAAGAAAAATATTGGATCATGATCATAACCATGTTTAAGGTCTCTAGATAAGTTATATAAAAAATCTTGAATTAAGCTAGTATGAAGGATCTTTTTGGGAATTCAGATGGTTTCATTTTTTTTAGTTTTGTAACTTTTATATAATTTATGATATTTGTCCTCCTAAACTTAATAATCATTTAATATATTTATTTATATATTTATAATTTTATCTTCTCACATTTTCTTTAATTTTGTAACTCTTATATAATTTATAGATGTAGATTGGGGGCCTAAAAACCTAATAGATTAAGCAAACTATCCACTAACAACCACGTCTCCTGTACGAAAATGTCATGATGCACTGATTCTAGAGACTGTGTCAATGCATATACAAAATGTTAATATATCATCTATATATAAACATATAACGACACATTCAACACTTTCAAATTTAGAGTACATATATTTATCAAGATCATTAGTTGAAAAACCATCACAAAGTAAAATACTATAGGTTTTTCATGTCACTGTTTTGGTTCCTATTTTAATCCATACAAAGATTTTAAAAGTTTGTACACTTTATTCTCTTGACCAGGAACAACACACCTTCAGGTTGATTCATATATATTTCCTCCTCTAATTCACCATTTAAAAAATGATGTCTTAACATTCATTTGGTGTATAGCCAGCTTATGGATAATTGATAAGGGTAACAAAACTCGAATAGAAGAAATCCTAGTCACAGGGGCAAAGGTATCAAAATAATCAATGTTGAATTTTTTAGTAAAACTCTTTGCTACTAATTTTGCCTTATATTTTTATCTATGGATCCATCAGGATGATACTTTTTCTTAAATATCCACTTACAACCAATAGGTTTTACTCTTTTAGGCAAATCTACTAAAGTCAAGTATTGTTTTTCTTAATTGAATCAATTTCAGTCTTAATGACTTTATCCCAATGTATTGCATCAGGAGCCCTAATAGTCTCTAGAAAACTCGTTGGATGATTTTCAACTACATAAGTGTAAAATCATCTTCAAAGGAGGTTTTCTTCCTCTGTCTTTTACTTCTCCTCAAATCCTCATATACTTTGTCACTATTAATTTCTATAGATTATTTAAGTATCTCACTAACCTTTAAAGGAAAATATGTTCAAGGAACTCAATATTTTTTGTCTCCACTATAGTATTATGCTCAATTACATCACTTTTGAGAACAAGAAGCCTATAGGCAACACTATGTTCTGCATAACCTAAGAACATACAATTAAAAGCTTTAGAACCTATTTTTCTTCTCTTAGGATTAGGTAGCATTACCTTGGCTAGATACCCACACTCTTAGGTATTTAAAATTAGATTGATAACCTCTTCATAACTCATAGGGAGTTTTACCAGTTTTCTTATATGGTATCCTATTTTGTAAAAAACATGTTGTAAGTAGAACTTCTTCCCAAAGGTTATCAGGTGCAATAGAATAATAAGTATGACATTCATCATTTTTTTAAGAGTTCTATTTTTTTCTCTCATCTACTCCATTAGACTCAGGTGAATATGGTGGGGTCACTTCATGAATAATATATACTTAAATACAATAATAATTAATATATATTCACCACCTTTATCTGATCTAATCCTCTTAATTTTCCTATTTAATTGATTTTCTACTTTCGTTTTATAGTTTAAGAACATGTCAAATGCTTAATCCTTATGTTTGATTAAGTATAATTTGGTGTATCTAGAGTAGTCATCTATAAATATTACAAAATAACTTTTACCACCTCTAGACATGGTTTGTTTTAGATCAGTTAGATTAGTATGAATCAATTCTAAAAGTTCAGTTTGACATTCTACTGAGTGACATGTCTTTTTTGTTATCTTAGATTCTACACATATATCATATTTCCTATTTTGTTTATCATGCATATTAATTAATCCTAGTCGTTGCAATTTTATAACATACCGAGATTTCACATGTCCTAACCTAGCATGTCACATATTGTACGAATCAACAATATAAGCAGAAGAACTAGATTCATTAACAACTTCAGAAATGTTAAGTACAAAAATACCTTGATCACAATATTCCTTCCCCACAAACACATTATTTTTTGTCATAACAATCTTATCAGATTTAAATGACACTTTAATCCAACTTTTCCCAGTAGTTTTACAAAGATTAGATTAACCCTGATTGATGGCACATGTAGCACATGTTAGAATCGCGCAGTGGAATGTTCGCGTGGTCGGACAAAAACCAAGAGGGGGGGGTGAATTGGTTTCTTAATAAAAATTAGGTTTTCAAAATTTCCCCAAATTTTACCGATTAAAAACTGCGTAAATGTAAATAGAGAAGAGTAGAGAAGATTACACAGTAGGTTTATACTGGTTCGGATCAAAAGACCCTACGTCCAGTTGCTAATCACTCAAAAGAGGATTAACGCTGTCACTAAGAACAAAGTTGTTACAACACAAATTATAATGAAAAAGATAAAGTTAAAGATAAAACCTCTCTTGAAATCCACAAGAGATGATAAACAACTTTCCCTGGAGACGGCACAGACACACAATCCACTAAGAACTCCACTTAGTGATTCTTATCGCTTCTAGCCTCACACCAAGTTTCCAAAAGCCCCGAAGAACAGACTTTCCCGGAGACGAGCACAACGACTCAATCCACTAAGAACTCCACTTAGTGATTCTTATCGCTTCTAGCCTCACACCGAAGTTTCCAAAAGCCCCTTTCCTTGCAACAAACAGTTCTCCGGCACTCACAAGCACTTAACTTTTGTATGGAAAGAGTTGTTCTTTAGTTGTTCATTTTTTCTCGAGTGCCAAAGCAGAGTTTAAGTAGGGAAATTAGGGTTAAGGAATTGGGGATTTCGAAACTAGGGTTCTTGGTAATTGGGTTTTCGAAAATAGGGTTAATTTGAAATTTAAAAACAAAAACAGACTGAAATAATCGATTAAATGGAGTTTTAATCGATTAAAACAGAGCCAAATACGCAGAACCCAATCCTCTCTGGTTTAATCGATTATTTGGTGAAATAATCGATTATTTGACCTTTTAATCGATTATTTTGATGTTTTAATCGATTAAAACAGTGAGTATATGCTGAAAATGGTTTTCTCACTGTTTTAATCGATTATTTCCCTATATAATCGATTAAAGCCGAGCCTGCATGATAAATTTGAGCATTTTGAAGCTTCTAAGTTACAGACTATGTACCGGCTATCTTAGACTCTATAATTACAGACTCAATCAAACTAAAACAGAGTTATTACAATACAGAAAACATCAATCTTCAATCTTCAATACTCTAAGTCTTTAAGCTCTTGGATCATCATCAAAATCAACATTCTTCATGATCATTATTTGCAACATCAAGTCCTTGAATGTTCAACAATCTCCCCCTTTTTGATGATGATCAAAATTATCTTTTTAAAGCCCTTGTAATAACCTGTTTTATCTGTCATACTAACAAACACATTAAACATACCAGATAACATTTAATATTGAATCATAGGCTTTAAATTTTTCTCCCCCTATTTTGATTATAATCAAAAAGAACTCTGCAACATCAATCATAAGAGCTCCCCCTCAAAATATGCATAAGTTAGAGAAAGCTCCCCCTCAATCATAGCATGAAAGAAACATCAAATTTTATTTCATAATCATTTATCCATTACAATAGCAAGACAATAACAAAAGAAAATACATAACAGAATTTAAAATTCTTCAACTGTCCTCATCATTAAAGTGAGTATCAAATCTATTTTCTAATCTACCCACTCTATCATCTACATCGGATATGCGACTGAATAATTTCATCATGGCGTACTCCGTAAAGATTGAAGAAAGATTGCATTCTTTGATTCATGTCTGAAAGCATATCTTCCATGGATTGTCTTGTTTCTTGATGAGACGAGGATGTTCCAACACTTTGGATTTGGTTAGAGGGAAAATTATCAGCTGGAGGCATATCTTCATCGAGTCTTCATTTGCATCACTTTGATTTTGAACGTCATCTTTGTGAACATAGATGTCATTGACACGCACCATTTGAAGTTGAGTCAATGTGCTGTCCAACATGCGGTTTAAGTTGTTTGTTCTAACTGCTTGCTCACCTTCAACATTCACTCCTTTATATTCAAGAATACGGGATACAAGAAGTGCATATGGAATTTTGAAGGTGTGATGACGCTTTGCTTTAAGCATGGTCATTTTGACAAGAACACCCCAATCTAAAGGTTCATTATTCATTATGGCATGAATAATTCGAAGATCAATGGAAGAGCATTGGGCATGATTCGTAGCCCTGGGACATAAGATCCATACAAGTAAATGTAGAAGCATGCGTTCTTCCTTCTTTAAAGGTCCAAGCATGAAGAATACGTCCAACCTCCGGAGAA